AGCTGCTTGCACCATTCACGTCCAGCGCCTCCAGCGACGCCATCCTCCGGCAGCCTCGCCAATGACGAGTACGCAGCATCCAGCTTTCACGCTCCGCAGCTCGGACGCCGCAGCCACCCTCCTCCGCGAGATGTCTGCAACCGCTCGTGGAGCACCTCCAGCGACCCATCCTCCGGCACCCTCGCCAGCGATGAGTTATAAGTTATCATCAGCTCCCTCACGCTCCCGCAGCTCGACGCCGGCAGCCACCCTCCTCGTCCCAGCTGTCTGCGCGCTCTCGTCCGAGCACCTGCAGCGACGTCATCCCTCCGGCAGCCTCCGCAGACCTTGCCCCTTCACCTTCAGCTCCTTCAACCGCGCCGCGACGCCTGCGGCAACCAGTCCCCCTCCACTCCGAAACATTTATTGGGTTTAACATAATGTCAAACTCAGCATCCGACGCCCTGACGACCTCAGCCCGTCATCTCCTCCGTGATCACCAGCCGATGCGCGTTCGCCACAGGCCGTCCTCCTGGCCCCATCTCCCTACGCCTCCAGCCCCACAATCGCCGCCACGCTGTGGGGTCCGCACCCGCGCGCCGGTACATCACCCACCGCCCGTCGTCGCTCGTCCGCCCCACCACCGATCTCGCCCCGCGTACACGCGCCCCTCCACCTTCCCGCCACCGCCCTGCCCACACCTCCCCTTGTGCGTCCGGTCGAGCCCCCTCGCAGCCCTCCAGCACGCTCGCCATCGCGGCGGACGACGCAGCCGCCGCGGAGGGCGACGCGCGCCCCCGGACAGGAGGCGGATGACCTCCGCCAGCGCCCCGCCGTGCCCGAACGACAGGTCCATCAGGGCGCATCCTCGTCACCAGCGCGTGGGCGCTGCGAGAACCGCGGCTCGCCCGCGCAACGACCGCCCCTGCATCCATCGAGTGCAGAGATCGTGCCCGTGATGCCTCGCCGCCGTCGGGGGTCGTTGACGGTCCCTGCGGGCGCCAATGGAGAGATTCCAGGAGGTGAGGTGGGGGAACCCGCGAGAGCCGTCCGGCGCGCGCATGCAGCCGGACTCATCACGACAATGTCTATCGTGAGAGATCGTGAGAAGCGAGCAAGGGTCTCCTGGAACGCGGCATGAGGTCCCTCCAGCGCATGAGACGCCAGTCCTATGCACCGTGCTGGAGCCGTCCATGCGACTCTCACGGCACCCACTGACCACAGCGCACACCTTCACCACGGCCGTGCGATCGGCACCAACCGCCGCAAGCCGGTCTCCCGACCACCGCCCCGCGTCTCCACTTGCTACAAGTAGTTGCACGGCACGACGCTCGCGTCACGGGATGGTTCTGATGTGCAGCTGCTTCGAACACATACCACTACTCCTGTACGCTGCAGGGCTGCCCACATGATGCCGCCGGGCCCGTGGGGGCACTGAACGCTTGCTACAACCCCTATCAAGTCAGGCCCTCCATACTTTGGATGCAACTCGAGGTTGCACCCGGTAGCTGAGCAGCCCAGACCACGGAGCCACAGGCACGCCGCGAGTGACCCTCGGCGACGCGCGCACGACACCCGCTGTCGTCGGTTCGGCGAACTTCGCATCCAAGACCCCCACTAGTACACCTGGGCAGCAACCGCAGGCGACGCGCGCGACGAGGCCGGCTTCTGCGGCACGTGCTCGTGCGTTCCACAGCCCCCGCGCCTGGTCCTCACGCTCCTCTCCTGCCTTCTTCCCAGCGGGTCCTCCAGGCGGTGCGGTGGTTTGATCTCCAGCTTGCCGGCGCACATGGGGAGCACTCGTTCAGTGTCACGACCTGCCGCATCTGCGCACGCGGCACAGGAGTTCGGCCTCCAACGCGATGGATGAAAGTGGGTCATGCACTACATCCTCGTCAGATGAGCCTGTGTCAGAACCTCATCGCGGAAGGCGGTCGCATCTTCATGGTCCAGTATTCGTCGGGGCCGGAACGCGCCAACGGCCTTAGCGAACTGCCTGCTGAGCACCGCACCGACTCTCGCGCCACCACCCGCAACTGCACCCCTCAGCACTGCTGCCGAGACACCACCGCCCTCAGCGCAGGCAGGCGGGGTCATCCTCCGCCACCTCCATGCTTGCACCACCCGGGTCGAGAGCAGCTCCCGCGCTGTCATCCCGCGCGGGATCGCGTCGCACACTGCCGCGCGCGCGGAGGGTACACCAGGCGCTGCCCAGCTCGGCTGGGGCCACGACTGCCCCGGATCACCGGTGGGCAAATGTCTGTCTCCGAGGGGTCGATCTTCCTGCATCCACCCACGTCGAGCACCTCCAGCGACCCCATCCTCCGGCAGCCCCGCCAGCGGCGAAACCCCGAGCATCCAGCTATGCGCTCCGCCCGCTTGACGCAGCCACCCTCCGCCGCCAGCTGCTCGCACTCGCAGCAGCACCTCCAGCGCTGCCATGCCCTCCGGCAGCCTCGCCAGCGACGAGCGCTCAGCAACCAGCGTCTTCACGCTCCCGCCGCTCGAGATCGGCAGCCACCCGTCCCCCGCCAGCTGCGAGCACCACCTCACGTCGAGCACCTCCAGCGACACCATCCCCTCCGGCAGCCTCGCCAGCGACGAGCCCCGAGCATCCAGCTTCTTCACGCTCCCGCCGCTTGACGCCGGCAGCCACCCCTCCTCCGCCAGCTCCTCGCACTCGCTCACGTTAAGCACCTCCAGCGATCCCATCCCCTCCGGCAGCCTCGCCAGCGACGAGCCCCGAGCATCCAGCTTCTTCACGCTCCCGCCGCTCGACGCCGGCAGCCACCCCTCCGCCGCCAGATGTGCGCACTCGCTCACGCAGAGCTCCTCCAGCGATGTCATCCCCTCAGGTAGCCTCGATAAAAACGACTCGTGCGCGAACAGCTCCCTCACGCTCCCGCAGCTCGACGCCGGCAGCCACCCCTCCCCCGCCAGCTCCTTGCATTCACCCACGTCAAGCCACTCCAGCGACCTCATCCCCTCCGGCACCCTCCGCAGCCTCGAGCCCGCAGCAACCAGCTTTTTCACGCTTGCCCCACTCGACGCCGGCAGCCACCCCTCCTCCTCCAGCTGCCTGCACCTGCTCACGTTGAGCTCCTCCAGCGATGTCATCCCCTCAGGCAGCCTCGATAAAAACGACTCGTGCGCGAACAGCTCTTTCACGCTCCCGCCGCTCGACGCCGGCAGCCAATCGTCCCCCGCCAGCTGCTTGCAGCAATCAACGTCGAGCAGTTCCAGCGACCCCATCCCCTCCGGCAGCCTCGCCAGCGACGAGCCCCAAGCAACCAGCACTTTCACGCGCCCACAGCTCGATGGCGCCAGCCATCCCTCCTCCAGCTGCTCGCACCGACTCACGTTGAGCACCTCCAGCGCCGTCATCCCCGCCGGCAGCCTCGCCAGCGACGAGCGATAAGCAATCAGCTCCCTCAAGCGCCCGCAGCTCGACGCCGGCAGCCACCCCTCCTCCTCCAGCCGCGTGCAGCCACCCACGTCGAGCTCCTCCAGCGACCCCATCCCCTCCGGCAGCCTCGCCAGCGACGAGCGACCAGCAACCAGCTTCTTCACGCTCCCGCCGCTCGACGCCAGCAGCCACCCCTCCTCGTCCAGGTCCTCGCATCCACTCACGTCCAGCACCTCCAGCGACCCCATCCCCTCCGGCACCCTCCGCAGACTTTGTCTGTCCACCGCCAGCTCCTTCAACCGCGCCGCGACGCTTGCAGGCAGCCAGTCCCCCCCCCACTTCTCAGCGATGTCAAAGAAAACCCTCGACGCCCTGACGACCTCCAGCCCCGTCATCTCCTCCGTGATCACCAGCTGATGCGCGTTCGCCACAGGCCCCTCTCCCTGGCCCCTCAACTTGGCCTCCAGCCCCACAATCGCCGCCACACTGTCAGGGTCCGCACCCGCGCGCCGGTACACCCACCACCGCGCGTCGTCGCTTGTCCGCACCACCACCGATCTCGCCCCCGCGTACACGCGCCCCTCCACCTTCCCCGCCACCGCCCTGCCCACCTCCCTTGTGTGTGCCGTCCACTGAGCCCCCCCGCAGCTCTCCAGCACGCTCGCCATCGCGCCCGACGACGCAGCCGCGAGGGCGACGCGCGACCACTTCGGCAGGAGGCGGATGATGTCCCCCAGCGGACCGCCGCCCGGCCCGAACAACAGGTCCATGAGAGGGGGCGCATCCTCGTCACCAGCGCGTGGGCGCTGCGAGGGGCGCGGCTCGCACACGCAGCGGCCGCTTCGCATGTCCATCGAGTGCGAGTGTCGTGTCGGTGCTCCAGCGCCGCCGTCGGGGGTCGTAGATGGCTCCTGCGGGCGCCAAAGAGAGGTTCCAGGAGGTGAGGTAGCGGGAGCTGTGAGAGCCGCCCGGCGCGCGCATGCACCGCGCCCGACGGCAAAGCCAGTGAACATCATCACAGACCGTGAGAATCGAGCAAGGGTCTCCTCGAACGCAGCCTCACGGTCGAGGTTCCTCCAGCGCATGAGACGCACGTCCTATGCAACGTGCTGGGCGCTGCATGCGACTCTCACGGCAGCCCGCGAGACAGCTCACACCTTCACCACGCCCGTGCGACGAGCACCGACCGCCGCCAGCCACTCCCGCGAGCACCGCCCCGCGTCTCACTTGCTACCAGCAGCAGTTGCACGGCACGCTCGCGTCACGGATGGTTCTGTTGCGCAGCTGCTTCGAACACATACCACTACTCCTGCACGTGGCAGGCGCACCCACATGATGCCGCCCGGGCCCGTGGGGGCACTGAACGCGCGCACAACCCCCCTCTGGTCAGGGCCCTCCATACTTTGGATGCAACTCGAGGTTTCACCCGGTAGCTGAGCGGCCGGACCACGGAGCCGCAGGCATGACGCGAGTGACCCTCGGCCACGCGCGCACGACACGCCCCGCTGTCGTCAGTTCGGCGAACTTCGCATCCAACACCCCCACTAGTACACCAGGGCAGCAACCGCAGGCGACGCGCGACGAGGGCCCGGCTTCTGCGGCGCGTGCTCGTGCGTCACACCGCGAGCCCGATCGCCTGGTCCTCGCGCTCCCTCTCCACCTTCTTCCCCAGCGGGTCCTCCAGGCGGTGCACGTGGTTGATCTCCAGCTTGCCGGCGCACATGGGGCACTCGTGCGTGGCGCTCACGACCTGCCGCATCTCGCGCACGCGGCACGGGAGGCGGCAGTGCGGGCACTCCCCCCAGTCGTCCAGCAGCACGCGCTTGCCCGACGCGATGCAGAAAGGGATGTAGGCGCGGCAGTGCAGGCAGTCGAGCTCCATCTCCGGCCCGGGCGTCCCGCAGTACGCGCACGGCACCAGCTCCTCGGCCGCCTCCTCCGCGGTCTTGTCCGGCTTGCGCAGGATGCCCTCGATCTTGCGCTTGTACTGCGGCGCGATCTGGCTGCGGTGCTCCGAGCGCAGGAGGACCGCGGCGTACTCGAACGCGGTCTGCTTGAGGCCCGCGCGCTGGCACTCGACGACGACGGACGTCAGGATGGGCACCGTGTGCGCGGGGAAGCGCGAGAGGTTGCGCGCCACGCGCACGAGCAGCCGCGCCGCGCCCACGTGCTCCTCCTGCCGCACGAGCAGCCGCGCGAGCATGTAGCTGTGCAGCACCATCAGCGACGACGTCAGCTCCACCGCGGGCTTCTTCCCGCGCCGCACCGTGTCCCGCAGCGTCTCCAGCAGCAGCTCGTGCGCCTTCTTGTACTGCCCGTCCTGCTGCTCCTGCCGCGCCCACTCCAGCGACGTCTCCGCGGCCTCCTCCACCATCCCCTGCGCCATCTGCAGCTTGTACAGGTACTTCGCCGGCCACCGCTTGCCCCCCGTCTCCCCCGTGAGCACGTCGAGCATCTGGCTCGACAGCTCCGGGCTGGTGCCCGCGACGTCGATCGCCTCCTCGATGTACTCCTCGCCCGCGCGCAGGAAGAGCTGCAGCGCCATCTGCGCGTCCCCGGCCCGCGCGTACGCCCGCGCGGCCTCCGGCAGCCGCTGCACCTCCTTGAAGTGGTGCGCCACGCGCGCCATGATGCGGTCCGGCACCGCGTCGCCGGCCTGCTCGAGGAAGCCCTCGACGTCGTCCTCGCGCACCGCGACCTGCAGCGCGTCGTCGAAGTTCTTCGCGAGCACGTGGAACTCCACCTCGTGCTTGGCCGCGTTGGGGTCGCCCCACGTCTTGCAGTACTTGGCCGCGCGGATGGCGCCCTCGACGGACCGCGTGCGCCGGACGATCGTGAACGCCTTGCCCGGGTCGTTGAGCTTCTCGAGGTACAGCCGCACCACGCTGTCGCTGTCGTCGGCCGCCTGGTACGCCTTGAGGGCCTCGTGGAACTTGCTCTCGTTCTCGCGGGCCTTGGCGTAGTTGAGCTGGAGCTTCGCGGACGTGATCTTCGACATGTGCGGCTGCGCGGCGTTGTAGTTCTTCGCGCGCAGGTAGATCAGCACCGCCTTCTCCGGCAGGTCGGCCTCCAGGTACAGCGCCGCCGCGTCGCTGTACATCTTGTTCTCCTCCAGGATCCCCGCGCACTCCCGGGACAGCGCCGCGTCCCTCAGGTCCAAGCAGATCCGCTTCCCCGCCTGGATCTCGCCCAGGTGGATCGAGCACCGCGCGATGCCGTGCAGGCACTTGGCGTACAGCGACAGCCCCCCCGTCAGCCTGCACGCACACACCACGGCGCACGCACGTCGAGAAACGGCCCGCACAGCCCACGCGCGTCGCGACAGGGGCACCGCGCGGGCACTCACGGTGGCTCCCGCCCGTCGCCGGACTCGTCCAGGATCTCGCGCGCCCTGGCGTACTTCTGCAGCGCCACGTCGAACTCGAGCTTCATCTCCTCCATGCGGCCGGCCTCGAAGCAGAACCCCGCGATGTTGTCCGGCGCGAGCTCCTCCGCGAGCGCGAGCGCGCGGTCCCAGTGCCGCAGGTCCTGGCGCATCTCCAGCGCCGCCGTCGGGTACGCGCTCTCGAGGAAGTGCTTCTCCGCGAGGTCGTAGTCGCGCAGCGTGGAGAGGACCACGTGCCCCGCGAGCAGCGAGCGGTCCTCGCACCACCGCAGCGCCTCGTACGCGATCACCTGCCCCGGGTCGCCCAGCTCGCGGTAGCACTCCATGGCCAGGGGGAGGTCCAGGTGCACCAGCGCGGCGTTCGCGAGGTCGTCCCACGACGGCTCCTCGTTGAGCTTCACGGCCGCGTCCCAGCCCTCCTGGAGGCGGCCCAGCTGCGAGCGGCGCGGGCGGGGAGGTGCTTGAGCGCATGCGCGGCCAATGTCCGCGGCGGCAGGGGGGTGCGTCGGTGCGCGGGTGGGCGTACCGTGATGAGAGCCTTGAGGCGCGCCTGGAGGCCCGTCTTCGAGCCGTCGACGTCCTGGAGGTGCTGGTGCGTGGGCAGCACGACGTGCTCGACGGACCCGCTCCGGACGTGGCAGGCGAGGACGCCGTTCATCATGGCCATGGGGGAGTAGGACGGCGGCAGCGCGACGTGCACGAGCGGGCGGATGGCCGCGCCGTCGACGGAGACGGGGAGGTAGAGGTAGGCGGTGGCGCCGCGCGAGTCGCACACGACAAACACGTTCGGGTCCGTCACGTCCCACACCGCGCGCTGCACGGGCGACGTCTCGCGGTCCGGCACGGGCAGCACGGTGTCGTCGAGCGGGCAGTGCAGGAACACGCGCCCCTGCACGTCCTGCACGACGCAGCGCGACCCGCCGGGGCTGGGGTGGACCTGCGCGACGCCGCACCCGTGCCGGTACTCGCCGACGGACACGCCCGTCTCGAGCATGAAGTAGCACACGCTCCCGCGCGCGGTGCCGTAGGTGATGAAGTCGCCCGACATCCCCACGCACGTCACGTCGGGGTCCTTGCCGCGCGGGGGGAGGATCACCTCCGCGTCGCCGTCGTCCTCCCCGCCGGCCGCGTCGAGCCGATGCAGGTACACGCGCCCGTCCATGAGCGCCGCGCACCACACGTCGTTGCACGCCAGCGCGTCGATCGTCCCCACGTAGTCCCGCACGACCGGCACTGGCACCGGCGCCCGCCCCCCGGGCAAGGTCGCGCCCAGGCCGGCCGTGGAGTAGCACCAGAGCTTGTTGTTGAGCGCGGCGCACAGGTGCCGCGGCCCGATCGCCAGCAGCGAGGGCTCCGTGGCCAGCGGCAGCGTGCGCACCGGCGCCTGCCGCCCCATGCGCACGTCGAGGACGGACGCCTCGGACAGCGACGAGAGGAACGCGGCGTGGCTCGCGAACGCCGCGGACACGGGCGGGAGCGACGCGAGGAAGCACATCACGCGCCCGTCCTGCGTGGCCACGGCCAGCACCTGCCCGTCGGGGCTCCAGCACACCCCGTGCGCCTTCACGCCCGACGGGAGCGTGATCGCGTCGGCCGGCACCTCCCGCAGCTCGCTCCCGAACTCGAGGATGCGCACCTCGGACCCGCCCGCCACGGCCCCGCGCCCGAGCGCCGGGCAGCACGTCATGGACGACAGCCCAAACACCACGTCCTCGGAGGAGATCTCGGTGCCGGCCTCGCGGGCCATGGACGACTGCAGGACGACCTTCCCGGAGCTGAACGCGACGACGAGGTACCCGTTGCCGTGCCACTCGTGCGCCGCGATGCTCCCGTGGTTGCTGTCGTACTTGAGCGACAGGGGGGGGGTCTCCGGGTCCGACAGGTTGAGCAGCAGGAGCGACTTGTGGTCCACGTCGACGGACAACCACCCCTGCGACATGATGCCCGTCTCCACGTCCTTCCGGTACGTGAACCGCAGCGCCGTCGGGCGGCCGTCCGCGACGGGCAGCGTCAGGGCCGTCTCGCCCGTCGCGGCCGACACGACGGAGACGGACCGGTCCTCGGACGCGCACGCGAAAGCCCCGCGCCCGGCCCAGCACGCGGCGGTGATGCGGCCCGTGTGGACGCCCGTGAGCGAGTTGGCCGTCCCGTCGGCGTCGTCATACAGCGCGAAGTTGCCTTGCAGCGTGCCGATGAACAGCAGCGCCGAGTCCTCGTCCCACGCGAGCGAGCAACAGCCGCTGAACGGGAGGTCCGCGTACGTCACCGCCTGCAGGGCACGCGCCGCGGGGGCGACGGTGGTGGGGTCATGGCAGTGGGGTTGCGGCGATTGCCGACGCAAACCAGACGGCCACGGGCTCGGCGGTACAGGACGTCGCGACGCGCCGTTCCTACGCGGGCGCACTGTTGCAACCGTCCTTCGCGGCACCGCTGTTTGTGTCCGCGGCGAGGGGAGGCTGGTGGCGCACCTTCGTTCCGCGGTTCCAGAGGACCACGTCGCCCGTACTGGCCGCGGCGATGGCCAGGCGGTCACCGCTGCGGTCCCACGCGATCGCCGCGGCCGCGGTCTCGCACCCAGCGACGACGGGGTTGCCGTTCGCAGCAGGCAGCGCCACGTCGCAGTTCATGGCGCCTGTCCGGTCGAATATGAAGACCTGCGGGCCGCGGATGGTTCCAACGAACAAGCGTGTGCGCGGGAAGCCGCAGGGGCCGCGGCGTGAGGGCGTGCAGGAGCGTTGAGTGGGTGGCCTGGTGCAGGGGCGCGAGAGTCACCTTGTTGGACTGGCCGACGGCCGCGAAGAGGTTGCCTCGTGGCGACCATGTCACTTGTACCTTGCCCGGTTCGAACAGGTCGCCGCCCACCGCGAACAGGTTCTTCTGCATCGCAACAGGGCGCCAGGAGTGCCAGTTCGAGCAGCTGTCGCTGTACACCGCGCTCCGAGCGGCAAGACACCCGCCGGGACCGCGCTCGCGGAATGCGCGTCAGTGGCTTGTGTCGTGCCCGCAGTGCCTGCGCCCGGCACAGCATGTGGCGGGCCGCGGGCGCAGCATGCAATGCGCGCAGCACGTTTGCCGCAGTTGCGCGTGCCTGTGGCGGTTTCAGGCCGCGGAATGCATCGCTGTGCGAGGAACGCGGTGTGAACGAGCTCACGGACAGGCGTTCACGGATAGTGTCGCGCGAAGAGCGCAGTGGTGCCGCTGGTCACGCTGGCCTGAGTTCAAGGGCCGATGACGCCATAACGGGTCACGGGTGCGGCATCCGATGGCCGTGTGCGATCGTAGAAAGCGATTCGTCGCGTTCAGGCGCAGAACACGCTCTATTGCGGCCGTATCGGTGCGCAACGTCCCCCACGTATTTCGTTCGCCCGCGACCCGAGCACTTTGCGTCCACTTGCGCCACCTTGCGCGGCTGTTCCCGCAAGCAGCGCTCTCTCCATCGGCTCCGACATCCTACCAGAGGTGCAGCGGCTGGAAACCGGCCCTGTGCCGCGCAGGCAAGCCGTGGCACCGGCCCTCTTGGCACCTCCGCAGGGCGGGACGCACCATCGTGCCCCACCGGCCTCCACCGCCTCAGCAGCTACCGGGCAGCCTCGCCCCGTCGCCCGCACCCCCGCCGCACCCTTCCGCCAGCACACACACACGCACCCCTACACACCGCACACACAACCTCGCGGCCGCGGTCGGTGCGCCCGCGCAGGACCTCGAAGCTTCCCCGGATACCGCGCAGCCGGCAGACGCGCCCGCGAGAGTTGCGCGCGGCGCCCCGCCCCCGCCGCAAAGGCGCGAGAGGCTCCCCGTGACGGCTCAGCCGGGCTGATTGGTCACCGGGGGGGGTCCTGGCCGCTGACTGGCCGTGCCGGACCCTGCGCGCAGGGCCGCGGGCGCGCACGAGGCGGCCGGGCGACGGCACCCGCGCGCACTTTCTGTCCGTGCGAGGCCGCGGTGCGAGGGGTGCAGTGCTGCGCGTCGGGCGTGCACCAGCTTGTGTGTCGTGAGGAGGTGCTGTGCGCTTTACGAGGCGAGCGAGGGCCGCGCGGACACGGGCGCGGGGCGTCCAACATGGCTGCGGACTTCCTGTGCGGGCGGGACGTGCGGGCCGGCTATATAGCCCCCGCGGACTTGGCGGAGAAGATCCGCAGGTGCGCACCGCCTCCCTGGCTGCGGGCGCTGCGGCGTGCCGCGGGCGCCTGCGCGCCGGTTTCGGGCGGGGCTGGACCGCGTTGCACTGCAGTCGCCTCCCGCGGCGCGTCGCGGGGGGAATCCGCGCGTATAAAAAGGCGATTCATCGGCGCGCGGATCTACCGTTGCTCCTGGCGCCAATCGAAAGGCCGGCCCCGCCCGCGTCGCGCGGGCGGCCTGCTGCGTTTCGGCGGGCGCTTGGTTCGGTTTTCGGCGAATTGGAGGCCCCGTTCGCCGTAGCGAGGCCGAATGGCCCGGCGCTGGCGGCCCGCGACACGGCGAGCCGGCGGGGGCAGCGTGCGGGGGCGCTGGAACCTCGCGCGCACGCACCCTGCTCGCCGCCGGAGTACTCGCATTCTCTCTACGGATGCGCGCGGGCTGCTTTCGCCCGACAGCACCTGCGTGCGCTGCTTCAAACCGGACCTGAGAGCATCTTCCTTTCCCGCGCGCCCCCCGCAGTGGCTCGGACGGTCTCGTGGTGCTGGACGTCCGTGACGACGACCTGTACGGCGGCAGCATCCAGAACGCGGTCAATGTCCCGGTGTCGTGCTTCAAGGTGCGCCACGCAGCAGCGCACGCGCTCTCGCACCGCCCTGGTGCTGACCGCGCGCCGGGCGCCGGCGGCGAGGCATCATGCCGACCTTCGCCCGCACACGCGCCCCCCGCGCAGAACGACTACCTTCTGGACGACGTGATTTCGCGGCTGGGGCTGCTCTCGCCGGGAAACGCGGGTGCTGGTCGGGTGACCACCGTGGTCGTCCACTGCATGTTTTCGCAGCAGCGGGGGCCCTTCGCGGCGCTCCGGCTGCTCGAGCGCGTCAAGGAGCTATCGGGCAGCGGGCACGTCCCCGAGGTGCTCGTCCTTCGCGGCGGATTCCGCGCCTTCTCTGACGCGTACAGCGACCTTCTACAGACTGCACCGGCGGCCGCCATCGACCTCGACGGGCTCGGAGGCGACGTCGCGGGCAAGCTCGGCGGCGACGCGGCGCCCACGGTGCCCACGTCGCCACCGCTGCACACCTGACCCCCAGCAGACGGTCGATGCCAGCACCTCCGCTTGGCTCCCGCCCCCGCAGCCCCCCGCCGTCAAACATGTCCATACCTCCCGACCCGGCGTTCCTCTCCCTGTCCCCCTCCCCCGCCCCCTGTCCCCACGACGCGCGTTGTATAGAACCGAGGGCGCGCGCTGCGTGGATGTTGCACTCAGTCTCGCCTCGCGCCCCAACTGCCGTCCAAGCGCGGCGATCCTGGCTGCGTGCGCGGCCGGTCGACCTGGACCCGCGACGAGCCACCAGCGGCCCGCGGCCCCGCGCCGGCCGTGTGTGTGCACCACGCGCGCAGACTGGTCAGGCGCCCCCGGCCCGACAGCGCTCGGGCGCGCGTCGAAGAAGCACCCCCTGTCGAGCGGATAAAACCCCGGCGCAATCCGCAACCAACCCGTTTTGAATGTCCGCTCTAGCACCAGGTGACGCGAGTTCTCGGCCACGTCTTCGCCCTCGCGGGACGTGCCGTCGCGTCACGAACGCCGACATGCATGCTCCCCCCCCATCGCACGCAACCCCCAACACTTCGCGCAGCCACCAACCCGGACGTCAGTCCCCCCTAGTGGAGCACCCGTTCCCACGCAGCACATTGGCCCTCGTGTTGCTCTCTCTGACCATGTGCGCGCGCAGGCGGACGGTCTAGCGCAACTTCTCCGCTTACGTACGCACGGCAGTAAGTGGGCCACACGCTGTGATGCTCGAAATCACCGACACCGGCCCACGTTCCACAGCAGCGAGCGCGAGAGAGGAGCTGGCGTTGTTTGCGTTTGGCGCAGACGCGTCGTGTCGCGCGCAACGGCAGCGACGCCGAACTCCGCCTGACAGCGCCGATCGGACGATGGCGTTACAAGCGATGGTTCCAGCCGCGAGCCTGGCAGTGCCCGCCGTGCTTGCCCGTTTCCCCATATATGTATCTATGATGAACATATATATATACTCGCCGTCCGACACGGACGTTCGTCCCTGTCGCTCATGCCTGGGAAGGCGCAGCCGGCGGCTCCGACCCCTCCTCCGGCCCTGGTGCTGGCGGCGCGTCCTCTGGGGTGCCCGCAGCCGCCTCCTTCTTCTCCTCCTTCTCCTTCTTCGGCTTCGGTCTCCGCACCTGCCCCGTGAAGCGGCGCTCCGCGACGAACAGCGTCTGCGCCGCGCTCTGCACCGCCTCCGTCGACATGACACTCGCCGCCCGCAGGTCCTCGCCGAGCGCCCGCCACGACCCTGCAACGCGCCGCACAGGAGTTCCCGGTTGTGAGCCACTCCATCGGAGCAACACCATCAGCCGAGCGGCGCACACAACACGCAGCCCGGACACGCGTCTCACCATGCACGGCGTGGTACTTGCACAGGAGCCCCGCCAGCGACGCATCGCCGAGCACGGCCTTGGTCTGCGCGGACCGGATGCGCCGCTTCACGCGCTCGAGCTCCTCCGGCGTCACCTCCTGCGTGAGGCCGTCCACCGCCCCGCGCACCGCCCGCGACACATCGTCCAAGGACTTGCCCGGCGCCGGCACCGCGAGCGTCAGGAACAGCGAGTCGCGCTGCACGCCCGGGAAGCTCGCGACCACGTCCTGCCGCGACGCGATCCCCGACGTCAGCAGCGCCTCGTGGAAGCGCGACTCCTGTCCGACGGCCAGCATGTCGGCCAAGAAGTCCATGGCCACCGACTGCTTGTCCGTCGTCGGGGGGCGGTAGAAACCCTCGAGGAGCAGCGGCCCCGCGTCGCTCTCGAACCGCAGGATGTTCGTCGCGGACTTGCTCGGCGGGGGCGGCGCCACGCCGATCTGCCCCGGCATGATGATCGTGTCGCGCAGGTTGGACCCGCGGGCCTTCTCGTCGACGACGTCGAGCGGCATGGGCGCCGCGGGGTCCGCCTTCGGGGCCGGGGGCCCGGTCCGCGGCTTGAGCGCCTCGTTCTCGGGCGCCGGGCGCACGGGGGAGGAGCGAGGGACCCACTCGCCGATGGTGGGCGCCGCCATGCGCTCGACGTCCGCCGCGGAGACGTCCCCGACGACCGCGATCGTCACCGCGCTCGGAACGACCTTCTTGCGGAAGAAAGAGTCCACCTCCCGCCGCCATAGCAGCTCCACGTCGTCCTTGTAGCCGATCAGCGGACGCCTGCAAGCACCTGGCCGCGCAACCACCTCAGCGGGCGACGCGGCCGGTCGCCGCCGACGCGTACGGGCGTCGGCGAGATAGCGGCGCGTGTGCGTCGACCGGTGCGCGCGGCGCGCACCTGTAGTTGGTCTGAAAAGCTTTGTGCGCGAACCGCTCCTGGAACTCCCCAAGCGGGGCGCCCTTCTCGAGCTGGCTGCGCTCCGCGGCAACGGCTTGCTTCGCGTCGTAGATTCCGCGCCACACGGGGTCGCGGAACCGCTTGCGCTCCAGGTCGAACCACGTAGGAAGCGCGCCGACGGGCATCGACGCCGTCCACCGCATCCAGTCGTGGCTGCACCGCGCGCGCACGGACGTCACGCCGAGGCGGTCCAGCTCGACCAGCCACGCGTCCGGCGTCTGCAGCTCCGCCGCCTCGTCCCGCAGCGCCTTGAGCTGCTCCCGCAGCGCCGGCACCTCCTTGTCGCGACCCTCCCTGCAACGCGGTGCGCCGTGAGGCGCGAGATCGTGCACCGGACCACGAGCTGTGCCCTGTGCCCTGTGCGCCCTGTGCGGGCGTACGCATGTGTGAGTGGGGGGGGGCTGGGCACACCTCTGTGCGGTCCGCAAGGCGTAGAACGTCTCGTCCTGCGCCTCGAGCAGCGGCGCCTCGCGCTCCCACGACTCCGTGCCGATGCCGCGCGTGCCGCTGTACGACATGCGCGTGATGAGAGACACGATCCCTGCAGTGCGAGAAAGAGGAGGGGGGGTGTTGGGGGAGTGTGTCGGTGGGCCGCAGAAGGCGGAGGCGTGGTGGCGGCAGAGCACCGCTGTTGCTGCGCGGGCGGCTGGTCGCGTGCGCGGGGGTGGGGGGGGGGTGTTGTCCCACCTGTCCGGCCCACCTCCTCGTCCCACGCTCCGACGCTCGCGTAGGTGTGCGTGGACACCTTGCCGGACCCGGGCCGCTCCGCCACGATCACGTGGACGCCGTTGGGCAGCGTGAACTCCAGCGTGTTCTTCTCGACGTCCTGCACAGGAGGACATTGCGACGTGTTGCAGGTGGGCGGTCCTGCGCGGGACGAGTCGCAGGCGGGCGCGCGCGGGCACGGGGATCCCCCGGGTCACGTACGATCAGCTCCGGGACGTTGATTTCGCTCCGAGCGTCCGCCGCGAGCACGTCCTGGTGCCCCCCACAGCCCAGCAAGATGAGCCCTGCACCTGCACAGCATGGGCGTGATCGCAGGCCGTGGGCGCGCCACGCGCGCAGCGCCGCGCACGCGAACCCACGCATCACGTCCGTCTCTTCGCGGTATCGGGGCGCGCTGTCGCGGCGCGCACGGCGGCGAACGGCCCCCCCGACGGCCTGGTGCCGTTGGAGCGCCTTGGTGATGTGCGGACAGCGCGGCGCACGCACCCGCAGAGCCGCCGATGAGCTGCCGGCGCCCTACGCCGATCAAATCGGGCGCCGCGCCGTCATCCGCTTCCCGGCGCCGAGGCTGGCGGGCGCACGTCGCCGTCGAGCGCCTTGCTGTTGCATGAAACCGGCAGTGGGAGCACGATCTGCCCAAGATCGCGCCGCGCTCCAGCGCTTCCATGGTGCAGCTCGGCCGAAGGGTGCAGCGGCCGCGATTGCGAGACGTGCTCCCCGCGACAGACCGCCCGCGTTGACCCGTAGCTGCAAGCCTGGCGTTCGCGCGGCGTGCGGCGGAGATATCCAATGTGCACCACGCGCTATCGCGGCAGGTGTCGTGTGTCCGTGCATCGCGCCGGCCATCACGCGCCCCCGTCGAGGCACAACGCGGGGACCCCACAATCAGGTGGAGCGCAGGGTCTGACGGCCAGTGACCGGCTCAGACGAGGCCTGCGAAGACCTCATTGGGCGCCGGCGGCCACGCCAACGCCAGAGGCGCCCTCGTCGCAGCTTCGGAGCAGCTGAGGTGTCCTGCACACGCGTCCTTCGAGCGAGCCTGCACTGTGCTGTCTGGCATCGCACGCCGCGCTGCCTGAGCCACTCGCCGGCGCGCACTCAGCCCAGACGTCCATTTGTTGGGAGCCCTTCACCCGCTCGAATATTGGCTTGTCCCCGAGTTCCGTGGGAGCCGCGGTGGCCGCTCTGGGTGACGCACCAAGCGACCGGTCCTTGTTCGCGGCCCAGCAGCCATGGCCGCTCAGGCGGGCTCGGCCGACCCGACGGTCGAGGTGCGCCGCCCAGCGCCCGCCCACGCGGCGTGAGGGGCCTCCGCACGCCCTGCCGCCTGCTCACTCAGGCCAGACGAGCAGCTGCGCACGCGCCGCGCGCACGCACCCGCGGCCCGCCACGTTCCCCGGTCTTGAGGGGAACGTGCAGCGCGTGTGTTATCTGAAGGTGCTAGCTCTTGCACTATCAGCCCTCACGCGGCCCGCTGAGCGACGCCTGCACCTGCACTCCGCTGCAGGACACCATCCGGGAATTCTGCGCCCAGCTGCGTCGTCGGGAGGTGCAAGGGGCTCTGTACACCGCGAAGAAGACGGTTGAGATCCTGCGGCTGCTCATAACCAAGTCCCGCTTCCCGGAGCCGTGGTCGATGCTGGAGGAGGTGAGCGCCCGCCGCCGCGACGGGACGACCCGGACGCGCCCCCCTCGTGCCGGAGCACGACGCGACAGTACCGTGTCCCCCGCACCGACCTTCCGCAGGTGGCGGCGGTGGGCCGCAAGATCCAGGCGGCGAAGCCCATGGAGCTGTCCATCGGCAATGCAGTGCGGCGGGTGATGCACGTGATTCGCGAGGAGGCGGAGTCCTGGCTCGATGAGAAGCGTACGGGGTCGGCCACAGGTGCGTCGCGCCCCGCGCACGCCCCTGCGTCGCCGCCAACAGACCCTGTGTTGTCTGTTTGGTTGTGCGGGCCCGCCCGCCCGGCTCCCGCGACCGCGGTCGCTTTCCGCCCCGCGTCGCGCAGATCCCTTAGGACGCGACTCCGCGGTGGAGCCGATCCCGATGCGCGATCCGTCGGGGCACGGCGAGCTCGTCGACGACCAAAGTGTTGCGTCGTCAGGTAACGCTCCCGCCGACACCCGTCGAACCGCCGCGCCGCCCCCGCCGAGTAGTGCCCGGCTTGTGCGCGACGTCTGCCGCTTTCCTCGCCACCCCAAGCACCCGCGTCGCCCACCCCACGCCCGCTCCACCCCCTCCCCCTCCCGCCTCCGCAGAGGCCGCGGCGCGGCGCGTGCTGCCCGCGCTGCGCGGCACGTACAACCGCAACGTGTCGCTCGCGTCGCTGATCGACCACCCCCCGAGCGGCCTCATCCGCCGCGGCGTCAGCCCCGCCAGCACCCTCCACCGCCGCGACGTCCAGGACAGCCTCTTCGATGACGCCGGCGACGAGGCGGCCGCGCAGCCGGCCCCCGGGCCGCGCGGCGGGGCAGCACGCGGGCGCGCGCCGCACTGGGAGCGGCGGAAGCTGGTGATTGACGGCGTGAACGAGCTGCTGGACGAGATGGACCAGATCCTGCAGCAGATCGCGGACCAGGCGGCGGACTACATCCACGCGCGGGAGGTCGTGCTGTGCGTGGGGTACTCGGAGACGGTCGACCTGTTCCTGCGCGAGGCCGCGCGGAAGCGCACGTTCCAGGTGGTGGTGGCGGAGGGCGCGCCGGGGTGCCAGGGGCTGCGCATGGCGCAGTCGCTGCTCAAGGCCGGCGTGCAGACGACGGTCATTCCGGACAGCGCCATCTTCGCGATGATGGCGCGCGTCTCCAAGGTCCTCGTCGGGTGTCAGGCGCTGCTCGCCAACGGCGGCGTCATCTCCCCCGTCGGTGCGCCGCCCCGCGCCGAACCGCCCCGCCCGCGCACAGGGGCGGCACGCGCACTGCCACCGCGCGACGCCCTCGCGCCGCCGCACCGCGCCGCCCTGCTGCCAGTGGAGCTCGACCCCCGTGCCCCCGCCGCGCAGGGATGCACACCGTAGCGCAGGCGGCCAAGCGCCACGCGGTGCCGTTCGTGGTGCTCGTCGGGCTGCACAAGCTCTCGCCCACGTTCCCGCACGACCCCGACCTGGTGTTCAACGACTTCCGGCGGCCCCAAGAGCTGCTGTCGATGGACGACGTGGCCGCGCCCTCCGCCAACGGGCACGGCAGCACGCCGCTGCAGGTGGTGAACCCCACGTTCGACTACGTGCCGCCGCCGCTGGTGAGCCTGTTCGTGACCGACACGGGCGGGCAGAACCCGTTCTACGTGTACCGGCTGCTGTCGGAGTACTACTCGAAGGAGGACTACGTGCTCGAGGGGCACTGAGGGCGGCGCGGGGCGGCCGGGCGGGGCGCCGGTGGCCCCGGGCGGGGAGCGGTGTGACAGTGCTGTCAGGAGTATGAGGGCACGCTCGACGCGGCGCGCGAGGGCGCCGCGGAGCTCATTCGCGCAGCGGGGCGCTCGCAAATGTGCAGTCATTCGAGCATCGGCGACGCGATCCAAGTTTCCAGGCGCTCACAGGGCTCTCTCCTGCGTCTCCGCACCTGCAGCGCCTCGCTTTCGAATGTTCTCCACCGTCTCTCTGCGGCCCGCGGCCGCCGTCCCGGTCAAGGCCGGTGCGAAGACTGCGCCCCGTGCGGCCGTCTGCGCCCACGCGGCGTCGGACAAGGCGCTGAGCGCGATGGTTGCTGGTGAGCAGCTCTAGGTACCCCTGTCCGCGCGCGGGGGACATCGAACGCCCTTCCCCTCGAGCGACGTGTTCGTTTGTCCCTCCGACCACCGAAAGCGCTGCTGTGTTTGGAGCACTGACGCACGGCGACGTGCGGCAGGCCTGCCGGCACTGTCCGGTCGAGGGGCCACCTCCGCACACAAGCGTTGCGAGCCGGCCACGCTTTTACGCGTCGCTCATGCTGCGCCCTCTCTCGCCCGATCTCAGCGCCGTCGCGAGGTTCCGTCCCGTGTCGGCGAGCATCGCTGTACTTGCCGATAGAGCGAAATCCCGCGTTGATGGCTGCGTCGACCCCCCGCGGCCGATCTCGACGTGATGCGGACGTTTTCCCGACCCCATCGCGCGGACACGGCGCCGGTCCCGCACAGCACACGCAGCAGGCCAGCAGCATCTCTGTAAGGCTGTCGCTTGCAGGGCCCGTCCTTGCGGCCCGCGAGCCGGATGACCACCGCCGCGTCCGCGGCACATTGCCACTTTTCTACGTTACCGGCGAGCGACCGCCGCGCCCACCGCTGTGCCCGCATCGGGCGTGTCCCCGCAGGTGCCGCTGCTGCCATCCTCATGACCGCCCCCGCCGCTGAGGCCGGCGTGGTGTACACGGAGAAGCCCCAGCTGAAGAACTTCGCGGAGGAGGCCCCGAAGCCGGAGAAGAAGAAGAAGGAGATGAAGGCTCCGGGTACGGGGCCGCACCGCTAGCACGCTGTGTGTGGCGAGGCTGGGGATCGCGCCCGCGCTCACGCCCGCGCCGCCGCCCACCCCCGCCGCGCCCCCGCAGTCACCAAGGAGCAGAAGGCCGCGGAGGCGAGCGCGCCCAAGCCGAAGGTGGAGTCGAAGTCCGAGGGCCCGGAGCTGGACCCCCGCCTGGTGGGCCTGCCTGGCTCGATCGCCGTCATCCTCGGCGGCGGCTTCCTGCTGTCGAAGCTCGACCCCGAGTTCGTGGAGTTCATGGACGAGGCCTCGTGCAAGGACTCGACCTCCTTCGCCGGCAACGAGGTGGCCCTGAAGGCGGAGGGTGGCCCGGCCGTGGGCAAGCCCAAGCGGGCCGGCACCGGCCTCTTCGGCAAGAACTAAGTGCGGCAGACGGCTGTGACACATCGCAAAGACGCCCCGCACGTCGGCATCGCCGCCGGAGTCCCGGCCGCGCGCACACCACCCGCTGCCCTGCGAGCGCAACGACGACCACGACGGGCCTGCAAGCGCACCGGCCGACCGGGGGGACGTCCGACCAGGACGCCCCCGGCGATGGCTGGCGGCAGCAGCGGAAACAACGGCCTCCGTCGGAGTGACGCGCTGGCTGCGTGGAGCGAGCTGCACTGTCGCGATCACTCCCACAAGGTCCCGTCGGGCGCGTGTCGCTTCGTGCCGGTCGGGCCGGTCGCGCCGCGGGCGATGCGCTAACATCAGTGGCGCCGCGCTGCTGCTCCCCACCTGCACTTGAAGCCCGCGTTTAGGTCCCCTCGCAAGCAGAGAGCACCTAATAGGGTGCAAGCTGGGCGGAGTGTTACCCGAGCTGCTGCACGAGGGCGTCCAGACGAAGGCATCACGGTCTCGGCCATCGAGAGCTGGGCTCGAGTGAGTCCCCGGTTGCGTGCCTCTTGCCGGCTATGAGTCCTCCTATCAACGCACGTGTTGCTACCAACGGCCCAAGCGGGTCTCACAAGCGTTCGCTTCGTCCCAAGGCACAGACACGTCGGCATGTGCGTGACGCGGTGCATGAGAGTCTGCGGGAGAATTCATTCGATTGAGCGGCGAAACAACGGGCATACGACACCTACTAGTACGATGCTTGTACGCCCATCGTCTTGCCGGGGGCGGTACGAGGTCCATACGGGGAACTCTTGTATACTAGGGCTCCCCTAACCATGGCAAAGCTGATGATGATATTCGCTGCGGGCCAGGAATGCTGTTGCAACATCCTACGTCGCAGCCGGCTACTCGGCATTTTTTCTTCCTCGAGCGTCCTTTCGGAAACAGCGTTCCGACGAATTGTCTGAGCAGCACAAGGCCGGCAGCGGCCATGTGTCAGGCTGGACTCGCCTGGACGAATATTCCAGAAAGTGGTTTGGGGCAAAGTGATTTGAATCTCCTGGTGGGTGGAGAGGGGGAGGGAGGGGAGGGGGGGAGGGGGGAGGGAGAGGAGCGCGTGCCGTCATCACGGAGGGTCCCAGGAGGGTGGAGTGCTCAGTGCGCAAGGACCGCCGTTCGCCGGCGGAGCAGGAGGCGAAGGAATTCAAGGGACCGACGTGTGTGAATGCTGCGCTGCCGGGTGCGCTCGCTGCAGGTGGTCTCAGAGACGCACCGAGAATCGCGGCCAGGTGGTCTATCAAGGTGCAGTGCAGTGCAGGGGGGGAAGAACTTCCGGGGGGGCACATGGCAGGAGTGGGTCTCCGCGTCAGACCCCTTGCGTCGGTTGCATTCGCACTCGACGATGGGACGACGCGCGACGCGCACCGGTCGATGGCGCCGGCGTCGTCCGGGGCCTGAAGGGATCTTGGGGCAGAACAACCCGAGACGGCTGGCACGTGCGCACGCACGAGATGCAGCCGGTCGGTAAGAACGAACGAATTCGAGGCGCAGCTGGCCGTCATGCGCTATCAGCAGCGCGCCGTCGTAATCGCTGGGGTGAGCTTGGAGAGGGGTGGAAGGGGAGGGGAGTTGAGGTTCAGGACGGTTGAAAGCTTTCCGCCCTGCCAGTCCCAGAGATGAGATCGGCCAGGGCGGTGACATGATCCATTCGATTGGAGGGAGGGGGGGCGGGGTTCAAGGGTACAGTGCATAAGCATTGAAAAGGAAGGGTAGCCCGCTGCACGTCTGGTTGTCGCTGCTCCACTGGCCGAGCGGAGCGGAGCGACATTCCTTGTGCAAGGGGTCGCCGAAGACACGCGGGCCCGACAGCAGGTCCCACGGCCGACGGCGCATGGTGTTTTTGGCGGAGGTTGCAGACGCTGCGTCAGAGCTGCCGGCTCGTCGGCGGCCCGCTCACTGCGGTGGGAACCTCGACGTCCTCCTTGTTCGCGGGCGGCCAGACCGCCGCGCCGGCGTCGGTGAACCGCCCCGCATGACCGTGGCTGTCCAGGGCGTCCGTCCCGGTGAGCGACCCCGAGACGTGCATGTAGTTCGCCGTGGGATCGCTCAGCAGCATTCGCTCGTTGTAGACGGCTCCGGCCCCGCTGCGAGGCCCCCGCAAGGCATCACCCGGAAGAGTACTGTCCCGACCGACGTGGCCAGTGAGGCTCTCGCCCGGGGAGCGCGGGGCGCCTGCGCGCGACATGAGCGCGTGCTCGGCGCCGTGCGCCAACGACCCGTGCACGTCCCTGAGCGGCGACCCCCCCACGCCCGCCACGCCCTCGTGCATGTATGGTGCAGGGACCGGCGCTTCCATCCCGGGCCAGGCAGCCGCGTGCTGTGGCGGGTGCGCGCCCGCCACGCTCGCAGCGTGGTGGCCCATGGCGTGAAGCGCGGCCCCCGTCACCCCGGGCGCAGCGAAGGCGCCGCCCATCTGCGGCTCGTACATGGGCACGCCTTGCGGGGCGTAGAAGCCCTGCTGCCGCCCGTGCGCCGCCTGCGCGAGGAAGGGGTGTCCGTACAGGCCCGCGCTCGCGGCCCCTTGATCGGCGAGCACTCCGCCTGCGTGCTGGAGATCAAAAGCGGGGTCCGCAATCTGCGCAGCGGCACAGGGAATGGTCGCCGGTCACGCGGTGTTCGAAGCGACTCGGAGCTCCAGGGCGGTGCGCGCGTTCAGGGCCATTTCCCCGCGCGGCCCGGGCGGCGGCTGCGGGGGCTGGCCAGAACAGGGGAGGATCCGGGGTGCGCGCGTGGCGGTCACGCGGGTGGCGGAAGCGCGGCATACGGCAGCAGCAGTCGACGACCCGAAGGGTAAGAGCGGGGCGCGGCGGGAGGGGGCGCGGCAGGGCGTCTACGGGCAGCGGGGGGGGCGGGCTCACCAGGGCGGGAGCCTGCAGTTCGCCGCTCAGCATCTGACGGAACGCGCTGGCCTGCGCCTTCCTGGCCTTCCTCGCGCTCCTCCGCGCAGACCGCGTCGACCCGCCCTCTTCGGACATGCCGGCGTGCACGATGGGCGTGAGCACCGCCTCCCCACCGGGCGCAACGATGAAGTGCTGGAACTGGGTGTTGGTCGGTTGGAGGACCTGCGGGGCGCGCGCGCGGGGAGGCGGTGGGCGGCGGTGCTGCTCGCGCATCGGCTCGGTAGGCGCCGCGGAGGCGGCGTGCGCTCCGCGGCCCAACGGCAGCGACCTAGAGGCAAGGGAAGAGGCGCTTGGGCGACCGGCGCGTCTGGAGAAAGAAAGTGCGTCTATCGCCACGCTACACTGGCAGTTGTGATCGATATAGGCCGTGGGACGCCTCGTTCGCGGCAATCCAACCACGTATCCACGCACCTGGGCGACGAGAAGGCACGCCTGCTGCAGACGCTCCAGAGTCTCGGCCTGGATGCGCGCGTGCAGGGTGGTGTCCGAGACCAACGGATGGGAGCCGTTGAGGTTGCCCTCGCTGTTGCAAATCTCGATCTTCGCGCGGGTGGCACGCTGAATTTTCTGCAGGGTGCGCCCGCCATGGCCCAACAGCAACCCAACAAAATTGAGTCCATCCTTGGTTTTGGCGGCGCGGTAGGTCGCCCCGCGATGCGGAGGGACCGGGAAATACAGCCGAAACTCGAGCTTCGGCTCCCGCGGCCCCAGAATGACGGGCGCTTGGCCTAGCGCAGGAGGCGCAAAGCCCCGGGCGCCAGCGCCACTCGGCAGGCCCAGGGCGGCCAGGTGCTGCGTCAGCTGGTCCATCGTTCGCGTCCCCCACAGGAGCGCAGAGAGACCCGGGCGGAGGCGCTCGCAGAGAGCACGCGAATCCGGAATCCGCGCGTGCAAATCCACGTGTGCTCGCCACGCGCGAACCGCGGCGTGCGCGGCCTCAGCGGCCGCACAGGTGAAAAGAAGTCCAACGAATTACTCGAATGAATGAGCGTCGCCCCTCCTCAGCGCCACGCGGCGCGGGGCTCAGCACTGCAGCTCAGTTCGCGAGCAAGGACGGGGCCAGTTGTGTCGCTGCGCACCCTCACGTCCTTTTCAGGCAACGCCTTGAGTGGCCGGGAGAGGCCGCACGTGCCCGGCGACCGAGCACGGCGCGCCTAATGTGCCCGCGGACTGCCCTATACCTGCCTATACCAGCAGTTAGACCCCCCTGTGTACTGAAAAGTTCCAGCACTCAGGGGCGGGGGCGCTCCGGACCTCAGCGAGCCCCGCCGCGAGCTGCCCGCCGCCGCCGCTGCACGCACGGCCGGCAGCGCGGCACCGGGGCCACACGTGACGCGACGCGACAAGGGCTATGGCAACGTTGCTGCGCTCGCCACCTCGACACCGCGCCCGGCGCCGGCACGAGGCCGAACACCCCCGTCGTCCTTCTGCGCGGCAGCACTGCCATGCTGCCGCCGCGTCGCTGCTGGGCGGCACCACGGCCGCGACGACCGCGGCGTCGGACTGACCACACGCGCAGGGGGGGGTGCACGTGCAGTGCCACAACGCTCTGCCCGTGCTCGCCCTGTGCCTCGCCAGCGCGGGCGCCGCGGGCAGTGCGGCAGGCAGAGGGCGGGCCGGTGCGGCAGGCGTGGCTCCCTGAACCGCGTGCGTGTGGTCTCTGACCAGGACTGGTGCAACTGCTTCGCCGCGGCGGTGCCGGGCACACCTGGGACCGCCGCGATGACGGGAACTGCGGGATATAGTCTGCAACATAAGCAATTAGGTGAGCGGCAGGCCAGCGGCTGCCTGGGGGGCCGTTTACTCTATGATGGCAGTCTCGAGGCGCGCGTGCGTGACCTTCGGGCCCCGTCGCGTCCTGTGTCGTTGACGGCTGGTTGCACTGCGCAAAGATGCGCCTCTTCGGTCATCTGAGCGCCGGTTCAGTCCTCTGTCACCGGTCTGGCTGGCACAGACCGCCCGGCGCACCCAACGCCGTCACTCCTCCGCAGCCAGTGCGGCAGGCGCCGACATCAGTCCATGTGGTGGAATGTCAGCCCTTTTGCGGCGCCACTGAGGCGTGACCGGGCTCATTCGCGATTGACGCATGCCCCCGCAGCCGTCGAAAGAGACCCTTGCACTGTTGCCAACATGCTTTCGCATCAACGCTGTCGCCCAGCTTCGTCCAACGCACTGGCACCCGATAGCGCAACACCTCAGCGGCGGACCCGCACCGCCGACTTGCGTGCAGAGGCGGTGGTGCGACTTCTGCATTTCAATGCCACACCACCAGCCGCGTCTGCAAGAGCATCACCTTCCGAGGAATCCTACAAAGTACTCGTCCTAGACTCGTTCACGAGGTCAGTCCCGCGCCCGTCCGTCCACCGACCCGCCAGCTCCTGCACGGCGCCGACCCCAACTGGCAGCACAGCGAGTCCCTGCCATCGTTCTCCGTCGCCTGAAACACCTCGCGCCGACAGCCTCGAGGCAGCCCGCTACGATCGGTACGTTGGGACCTGCCGTGCGGGCAGCGGCGTTCACCGCACACCACCCCGGCGGTGTGCCGTGCGCAGGAGCTTGCTGTCCCCACTCATTCGCGTCGGAGACCTGCGCCGCCACGGCGTCACGCTGCACCTTCTCATCGATGCCGAGCGGCAGGCCATCCCGGACGTCCCGGCGGTGTACCTAGTGCTGCCCACGGAGCAGAATGTGCAGCGCATCGTTCAGGACGCCGCCACTTCCACCTACAGCGAGGTCCACGTCAACTTCGTGTCGCACGCCACGCCGCAAGTGATGCAGGCAATGGCTGCCGCGGCCGTGCAGCACCGATGCGTGGAGAAGATCGCCAAGGTGCGCAGATTCCCCGAGCAGCGCCTACGAGCGCATGAACGCCGCACGCAGCCTGCTGTCCGCTCCAGATGTCCGCACGGCGTCGTCGTCGCATCCGCGCACCGACAGCGTCGCCGCCCTGGTCCACGCGCAGGTGTTCGACCAGTATCTGTCCTTCGTGTCTCTCGAGCCCTCCTTCTTCTCCCTCGGAATGCCAACAGCGTACGCCGACCTGCACGACCCCGCGGCGAAAGACGCCGACATCGAGGCGTGCGCCACGTCCGTGGTGGACGGCCTCTTGTCGGTGCTGGCAACACTCAGTTGCGTGCCCTACATCAAGACGCCCAAGGGCGGGGCGTCGGAGCACATCGCGCGCTTGCTCGAGCAGCGTCTGCGCGAGCACATCGAGCGCCGGACGGGGCTGTTCTCGGACGCCGCGGTCATGGCCCACAACCGCCCGCTGCTGGTCCTGTTCGACCGCAACTTCGACCTCGCGACGGCCATCCGCCACCCGTGGAACTATGGACCGCTGGTGCACGACGCGCTCGGGCTCAAGCTGAACCGCCTGTCCGTGGCGGAGCCGGGCCAGGACGCGGGGGCCGCTGCGAAGCACACGTACGAGGTCGGGCACGACGACTTCTTCTGGGAGGCGAACGCGCACCATCCGTTCCCGAAGGTGGCCGCGGAGGTGGAGGTCCAGCTGGACGCGTACAAGAAGGCGGTGGACCAGATCAACGCCAAGGCGGCGATGGGCATGGATCCCTTTGGCGACGGCGACAGCTCGCTGGAGGAGGCCACGAAGGGGCTCATGTCCGCCGTGACGTCGCTCCCGGAGCTGACCGCGAAGAAGCGCACGCTCGACAAGCACACCAACATCGCGACCGCGCTTCTGCGCGAGATCAAGGACCGCAAGCTGGACCAGCTGCACAACATGGAGGCCGACCTCAGCGCAGGTGCGACCGCCGCGCGACACCCGCACGGACTGCCCCGTGTCCCACGCCCCCCTCGCGCCCGTCCTGAGCGCCCCCACAACCGCGCACCTTCGCTGCAGGCAAGGCGGACATTCGCGCAGTGTCGAGCGCGCTGTCCACTGGAGTCGGCACCCCCGAGGACCGCCTGAGGCTCGTCCTGCTGTACCTCTTGACGGCGAAGCAGCTCCCGCCGTCGCAGGAGATCGACGCGCTGCTGACGTACCTCACCGACCACGCAGACCTCCCCGCGGTGACCTACATCCGCCGGATGCTCACGATCGGCGCCGTCGGACAGGCCACGAACCGGCCTGGTGCCCCCGCGGCAGGCAGCGCCCCGCCGGCCGCGCAGGGCAACCTCCTCTCGTGGGCCGACCGGACGTTTGGCGAGGGCCTGAGCAAGGTGACGCACCAAGTGCGGTCGCTCATCTCCTCCTCGCGTCCCGAGGCCGTCCCGATCGCGGTCGGGGGGCTCATGGACGGCCGCCTCCCCGCCGACGCGGAGCAAGGCTACCTCGTGCTCGACCCGCGTGCCGCGCCTGGGAGCGCTGCAGGGGAGCGGGCGCGGGGGCCGTTCAACGACGCGATCGTGTTCATGATCGGCGGCGGGAGCTACGCGGAGTTCGAGGCCGTGAGGGAGCTGGAGGGCGACGCGGGGAAGGTGCAGCGCCGGCGGGTGCTGTATGGGTGCACGGAGGTGCTGGCTGGGCAGGAACTGGTGTCGCAGTTGGCTACCCTGGGCAGGAAGATGGCCTGACGGGGCGTGCGGAGAAGACGCGCGTGTGACCTGGTTCGGACGTCGCCGTGCTCGCAGCAAAAGAAACGTGTGGAGAATGCTGACAGGGGTGCGGGGGGTCGTTGTGCGTGCAGGACAAACACGCATGTGCGCGACTGACGACCGCAAAGGAGCGCGTCTCATTCGATCGCCAAGTCACAGCCACAATTTTGGCTTGCTCTTCGTTGCGGAGCAGCCCATGCGAGATGGATGCTGACTTCAACCGGGCGGAGCGCCGGCCGCTCATTCAGCCACCAGCCCCTCCAGGCTGTCGAGCGCCTTGACGACCTCCTCAAACACCTCGTCCGGGGGCGGCTTCGACGAGATCTCAAACACCTTGCCCTCCTCCTTGTACTTGTCCACCACCGGCTTGCTCTGCGTGACGAAGGTGTGGAAGCGCTTCCGGATGGTCTCGACGTTGTCGTCCGCGCGCCCCGACGTCTTGCCGCGGTTGATCAGCCGCTCCTCCATCGTCGCCTCGTCCAGGTCGAAGAACAGCACCGCCTCGCACTTGACAATGTCCGACTCAAACGCCGCCGCCTGGGCCAGCGCGCGCGGGAAGCCGTCGATCAGGAAGAGCTTCTGCCCCGACTTGATCATCGCGTTCTTCAGCAGCGTGATCGTCACCTCCATCGGCACCAGCTTGCCCTCCTTCATCGTCACCTGCAGCTTCTGCCCGACGTCGCTGCCGCTGGCCACCTCCTCGCGCAGCAGGTCGCCCGCGGACAGGTGCTTGAAGCCGTACTTCTCCACGATCTTCTCGCATTGCGTGCCCTTCCCAGCACCGGGCCCACCAAGCACAAACACAACCTGCGAACACCATGGCACAGTAACAAGAAGTTCACTTCAGCCGATCAGATACGCCACCATGATGTCGACTTCTAGAGCACCGACAGCGTCAAAAGGATCGATGTCAACGGTGGCGTGCAATCCCTGTTCCGGGACACTGCAGCACGTCTAACGGCCATGTCAACGCCCAGCTCGTTGTGTAGCACCAGATCCCAAGCCGTGCGGCTGAGGACGTGCTGCGCCGCACGGATGATGCGCGACACCGCCACGCCTGGGCGGTGTCAAGCACGCAGCCAAGGCAGGGAGCATGATGAACGGGGGAAAAGAGGATGTTGCCGAGCCTTGCGAGCTGCAGGCGCGCCTCCGAGGAGGCCCTCGAGGGCGGTCACTGCGACCGTCGTGCATCCTTGAGCGCACGCCATTCAGTGCGAGCGAGGTCACGAATTTCGGTCTCGAAAAAAAAAAAAAACATTTCCAGGAAGGCTTGGCAGTATATTAGCGAGGAAACAGAGATCCTGCCGCACGAACCCGGGCATGGCCTCATTCGTGTCACGGGTGACCCGCGCTCGGGCATCGGCGCGCACCTTGGTGCCCTCAGGCAGGTCCCCTGGCACAGCAGGCACCACCAGCTTCTCCTCCTCGGCGGGGGCCGCCCCGAGTCCCGGCAGGCTGTCGAGCGCCTTGACGACCTCCTCAAACACCTCGTCCGGGGGCGGCTTCGACGAGATCTCAAACACCTTGCCCTCCTCCTTGTACTTGTCCACCACCGGCTTGCTCTGCGTGACGAAGGTGTGGAAGCGCTTCCGGATGGTCTCGACGTTGTCGTCCGCGCGCCCCGACGTCTTGCCGCGGTTGATCAGCCGCTCCTCCATCGTCGCCTCGTCCAGGTCGAAGAACAGCACCGCCTCGCACTTGACAATGTCCGACTCAAACGCCGCCGCCTGGTCCAGCGCGCGCGGGAAGCCGTCGATCAGGAAGAGCTTCTGCCCCGACTTGATCATCGCGTTCTTCAGCAGCGTGATCGTCACCTCCATCGGCACCAGCTTGCCCTCCTTCATCGTCACCTGCAGCTTCTGCCCGACGTCGCTGCCGCTGGCCCCCTCCTCGCGCAGCAGGTCGCCCGCGGACAGGTGCTTGAAGCCGTACTTCTCCACGATCTTCTCGCATTGCGTGCCCTTCCCAGCACCGGGCCCACCCAGCACAAACACAACCTGCAGAGCACAAGTGACAGGTCGGAGGGCCTCGGCGCCCGGGCCTCCTCCGCCTGCCTGCGGTGCTTCGACGCCTGGCCAGCTGCTCTAGCGCCAGGCACAGGGGTTGTGCCGAGCCGCGCTCACCGGCCGCAGAAGCAGCCCCTTGATGCCCCGTGTTGCAGGACCCCGCAGGCGACGGCGCTCCAGGTATTCTCACCTTGGTGTCCGCCGGCAGCGAGCCCTCGATCTCGGGAACTTTCAGGGCCTGCTCCACGGCCGCCTCAGCCTTGCTCGCGGCGGCAGCGGTCTGGCTCTTCACCGAGGCCGCGCCCGGCTCCTGCAACAGCACGATCTCACGGTGGCGAGCTCAACACCCGCGTTCCCTCGATCTCCGACAGCACGGCATCCGCAGGTCGTGCTGACGAAGCGGGATCGCCACTGACGCCGCGACGCGGCCTTCAAGGGACAGCTGTACATGTGCCAGGGCTACATGGGCGCGAGAAAGCGAAGTAGAGCCGTGATACCGGGGTCGTGCGAGCCGCTCACGGCACGAGGAGCGGTTGCTGCGAGCCTGCACAGGCTCGGTTGGCCGCATGCGAGTCTGCTGGTACGGCGGGCGGTCATCGTCTAGCAGCCAGGGATGTGGAGCACCGTACCGCGGCGGCTGCCTTGCTTCCACAGGTGCCCATGTCAGCGGTGTCGATTGATCATGTACCGAAGAGGCAATCGGTGCGACTACGTCGCCACGATGGCGCGCAGGGACCTTGGCCTGGGCAGGTGGGGGGACTGCGAAGGTGGAGGTCCCAGCGGAGGTTTGGGGAACCATGATTCCTCGATCTAGAATAGCCTTTTGCGATGGCATACGTTCCTGACGGAGGTGAGGAACACCGTCGTCGCGATTGTCGGTCACGGAAGATGCCCAACGGACCCCTGGTGTCGGCGGTAGCCCCGCCACGGCCACTGAGGTCATTCCTGGGTCACACGGCACGCGTCGAATAGCCGCGCTCTGCGCATGGCACGTCGGCGCCTCCCTTCACGGCCCGAACGCTCACGACGGACTGTTTCCCCCGCCGCCACGCTTCGTCCCCAGGGCCTTCGCCACGATGACAGGACTGCTGCGCATCCGGCTCGGACTTCCGCCTGCGCACACCCACGACCCAGACAGACCGCCGGTGAGCACCCTGCCGGGCATCGCCATCGCAAATTCATGCGGGCGCGGCGACCGCGTCGCGGCCAGCAGCGTGCGTGCGTCGTCCCAGCCAGGTTCGGCGCAATCGCGCGGCACTCCGGAGCGCCGACGGGTCAGCAACGCACGCACAGACGCACACGCACCTTGTGTGCGCGAAACCATGGTCGCCAGGCGCTCCCGCGCCGGCGGGGGTGGCCGGCCGCCTGCCCTTCCGATGCTGCGCGCGGAGAAGCCGGACTTCTCGGCCTCCGCCGCGGTCGTTCGCTGCAAGTCGGTGTTCCAGTGGATGCCAGGCAGCGCGGTGAAGCGCCTCTGCGGCACCTTCTCCGCCTCAGACATCGCCGGGCCGCCCTCCCGCGCGTAGACCCAGTGATTCTGGTTCAGCTTCAATCGCGCCAGCTCTGCGAGGGGAACGAGGTGGGGCGAGAGCGCGGTCAGAGCCGCCCTGCCGTGGGGATGCTTGGCGCCGGGGGGGCGGTGGGAAGGCCCTTGCGAAGCGCTCGAGGGGCGCGGGAGCGTTCAAGGGCGAGCGAGGGATCGCGTGGAATCCGCGTGGCCACGATCCGTCGAGTGAGACGGCGGGGAGGCGCCAGCGACAGTTGCACATGTGCTCAGCGCTCGGCTGCCCGCGCCGGGGCGGGTAAGGCTGCATCCGAGCAGCGCCCCCGCGAAGTGCGAGGCGTGGTGGAACGCCACCGTACAGGCGTCCTCGCGGGCGTGGTCGCGCGGCTCACCGAAGTTTTCTGGGACCCAGCCGATATCCCCCACCCTATGGCGCCGGTTCATTTGCACGTAGTGCGCCCTGACCTCGTGGTACCCCGTAGCAGGGGTGGCTGACACTTTCCCCGCATCGGCGGTGTTCTCCTGTGCGCGCTCCACCGTCAGGGATCGGCGCATCTGCATCAAAACCTCTCTGGCCGTGCCCCGCTGGATCGCCGGGTCCTTGCCGACGTCCGAATAATCCCGGCGGATGAGCGACATCGTGTCCGAACGCGCTTGACCCGAGCCCGGGTGCGATTCGCCCCTCGCTCGGGCTGCACCCGCAACAAGGTCAATGCTCGCCCCAAGCTGGCCTCCGGAGCGCCCCCCCGCCGTGAGAACGTGCCCGTACAGCGTGCTGCGCCGCCTTCTCTGGACGCTGCAACGCCGCAGCGGGTGCCGGCGGCGGTGGCCCGCGGGCGGCGAGGCAGCGGAGTGCCTCGACCAGCACTGTGTTCCAGACCGGTGAAGCTGCGCGCAATGTCGCAGGTCGCGAGTTGCCGACGACGCTAAGTGCAGGGTCGCCGCGGCCGAGCAGCAATTCCCCGCCCTCCGCCGGCGGGGAGAGCTCGATTCCTGCAACCACCCCCCTGGACTCAGTGCGTCCCGCAGAGCGCGAGGCGGCGCACGAACGCGCTTCGATGGGCACTGGGGCACGGCACGGCCTTCACTCGGGCGATGTGCGTGCTCTGATGATCCCACGCAAGCCGTGGGACACCCAACAGATACCCTGGAAGCACCTGTGCAACTGAGCAGCTTGCAACACGCCGACGCACTCAAGATGCAATTCAACAGCAACCCGTAGAGCTTGCCGAGACACAGCCGCGCTTGTGCCATGCGCACGACTCTCGGCGTCCCGTGTTCCGGGCGCGAACGAACCTTCCACCATGAGCTCTAGCTCGCGCGACAGGCAAGCATCCGCGCACTAAGCACGTGCTTCGCTGCGTGACGCGGCCCTCCTCCGACACTGAGACGCCCTCGTGGCGGGCTCGAGCTGTCAGCTCGCTTCGCGGAGCGCCTGCTGCGTATCTGGGGTGCCACCATGGTTCACCCCGTTCACGAGCACTTGTGGGGGCGACGTGGAATTCACGGTGTGACTCACGGTGACAGTCCCATTGAACGCAGTGAGATGGAGATGACTCTCTGTGACGTCGTTTGCGGGACGCAAAGCCAGGAGGGGCCGCCTGGAGCCGTGAGCCCGCAGAGAGTCGAGCTGCGCGCGACACAGGTGTGGGCTGGCTGTTCTCAGTCGCTGCAGCCTGGCGCACCGACACATTCTCCTGTTCCGCGGCCTCGAAGCACGGCGTTTCACGCCGGCAGCGCGGCGGGACCGTGCGAGAGACGTTTGCCGCAGGAGTAACAACTCACCGTGCGACGTCGAAGCATTCCGCCGCTCGCAACGCGCGAAAGGCACGAAATCGCGGCCTTTCGATTGCAGGTTGGAGGCGACACGCATCCGAAGTCGCAGCGCCTGGAACCGTCTCCCTCGAGCGCCCTCCCTGGGAGCTCGTGCGGGCTCCACGTGCAGGCGGTGTCGACGGGCGGCGTCTCCGACCTGCGGCTCGCCGTGGAGCTTCGCAACGGCATGCCGGGCACCCCGAGCAGCGGGCAGGGCGCCGCTCCTTCGTCCGACGATCGTCTTGTCGACCCTTGGGAGAAGGACTTCAAGATGGAACTGGAGGGGTACTGCGTGCCTCCGGTCACCACGGGCTCCCCGGACGCGGCCGTCCCGGTGCCGCCGGTGCCCGCACTGCTGTTCAGTGCGAAGGACCCGCCCTCAAGTCTGCACGTGTCCGCGGGAAGTGCTCCCCTCGCGTCGTCGGGCCCCGGGGACGCGGTGCCGTCGACCAGAGCGCCGGCGTTCCGCTTCCGAGCACCGCGGAGCCTGGATGCCTCGCCATCGCCGGGTGCGCGTGGGGGCCTGTGCTACGACCCGCGCCAGTGGCAGATGCGACCCCGGGCGCGACCCTCGGCCGCGGCGGAGCAGTCGAACGGCGGCCCGTCGGTTCACAGCGGCGTCGCTGCGCCCGGGTCGACGGACGCGGTCGGCCCGCCGGCGCTCGAGGCCAGCCCGCTGCCCATCAAGCACCTATCCTTCGGGGACGCCGGGGGGGCGTCGTCCGCGGCGTCCGCCGGGAAGGCTGCGGCCAGCGGCCACGTCGAGCAGCTCCTCTCGCCCGGCGTGCCGCCAGGGGCATCGCACCCGCAGGACGCGCACGGTGGGAGTCATACAGCGCAAGCGTCGGTGCAGCAGTCCCGGGCAGAGCACGTCGCCGTGCCAGAACAGAACGGGGTCGAGGGAGCCTCCAAGGGCTGGAAGCAGCCAGTTCAGCCGGCGTCAGGACTCGGCGTCGCCGGGCCGGCGGCTCTGCCCCCTGCCCAGCACGCCGCACATCCTGCGCCCGACCGCTTCGCCGGACCGCAGGCCCAGCCACCCGCGGCGGTCGCCCCCGCGCGCGTGGACGTCGCTGCGCCGTGCGGTCCCGTCCGTCGCCCCGACGCCGTGACTCCGTCGCCGATGGACGAGGACCCGGAGTACCTGTTGTCGCCGGGCCTCGCGCCCGTGGTCGCAGCGCCCGAGCCCGCACGGCCGCCCGGCCACGCGACGGAGGGCCCAGCTAACGTGCCGAGGCCGCGGCGGCCGTGGAAGACGACCCTGAGCCCGAGCCCCCAGCCCCGGCAGAAGGTGCTGGGGCCCGTCCCGTGGAGGCCGGAGACCATGCCCGGCGCGGGCGCGGGCGCGGGCGCGGGCGCGGGCGCGGGCGCGGGCGAGACACCTGTGCCTTCTGGTCAGTACCACATGGACACGCAGACGCAGCGTCCCGTGAGCGACGAGGAGATGAAGATGACAGAGACACAGCGACGGCTGGACACGTATCTCGCGGCGCAGGTGCGTGTGCGCCGAGGCGCGGGCCGGGCCGAGCGACGAAGTGCGCGCTCGCGGTCAAGCCCTGAGCCGCCCGCCCCTGACCTGTGTGTTTTGCTGTCCTGCGGTGCAGACGTGCCAGGGGTTCAAGATGTTCCGCGAAGGGCACCTGCTGTACCACTGGCAGGCGGCGGCTCTGCAGCGACCAGGCGTCACGGCCTTGTTGCGTGACGGGCGAGGCCCTCCGAGGAGCTTGGTGTACTGCGCACCCACGTCAGGGGGCAAGTCGTTGGTGGCGGACATCCTGTGCCTCAGGTAAGAGTGAACGCGACGAGAAGCGCGGGGCGGCAGGGCAGTGCGGCGAACGCGTGCGCGGGAATCACGCGTGGCGCGCTCGTGCTCTGTTGCAGGAGGGTCACCGACGCACAGAAGCCAGTCATGATTGTCCTGCCGTTCGTCGCCCTGTGCGAACAGAAGGTCGCGGAGCTGGAGCAGATGTTCAGCACGCTCAAAGACCAGGGGCTGCCGACGGAGGTCCGTCGCCACTTCGGAGCATACGGTTCGCGCAAGCTGGTCGACGAGAACACGGCGGCCATCGTGTGCACGATAGAGAAGGCCAATGTCATCGTCAATCGGATGTTCGAGACGGACGGTAACCCACAGGTGCGGCGCGGCAGACCTGTGGATCGCGTGCCCTTGGCCACGGGTGTGTCCTCGGCTTCAATACCTGGATTGTTGCCCACGTGCACGACGTGCCCGCCCTGCAGGACGACGACGCGCCGACGATAGACCAGTTCTCGGCGGTGGTCGTGGACGAGCTCCACATGGTCTCGGACAAGGACCGGGGCTGGCTGCTGGAGCTGATGCTGACCAAGCTGCGCTACATGGCCGACCTGCGCAAGAGCGAGGCGTCTGCCAGCAACACCGGGCTGCAGATCATTGGCATGTCGGCCACGTTGCCCAATCCAGGGATGCTGGCGCGCTGGCTGGACGCCGAGCTGTTCACGACCGAGTACCGGCCTGTGCGGCTGCGCACCTTCTTGGTCGAGCAGCAGCAGCAGCTCGGTCAGAACACCTGGGTAGTCCACGAGGACGGCAGCAGGGAGAAACGGGTCCGGGAGCTCTCGGTCAATCCTGGACCCCAAGGCTCGAAAATCACGCACGACCACTGGGCCGAAAGACTAGTCGTTCAGCTTGCGAGAGAAACGGTGAACCAGGGCGGCTCGGTGCTGGTGTTCTGTCCTTCGAAGGCCAAGTGCGTCACTTTCGCGCGGAAGCTGCACGCGGAAATCGCCATCGAGGAGAAGCTGCGGGACAACATCCCGCAGGAGCAAAGGCAAGCTCGTGCTCGATTGCAGCGCACGGCGGCCGCACGCGTTGTCTCCGCTGCCATCTCACCCGCGTACCCTGCGGTGAAGTGCAGGCTGTCCCGGCAGCAGGTCATCAACGAGCTACAACAGGGCGCCGTTGGAGTCCAGCAGCAGGCTGGGAAGGTCGTTCCTGCGCTCATTGAGGTGGTGTCTGGCGGCGTTGCGTTCCATAACGCGGAGCTCTCCGTCCCCGAGCGGGTCGCCGTCGAGCAGGGGTACAAGTCCGGGGCCATTCAGATTCTGTGCGCGACGTCAACGGTGGCTGCGGGCGTCAACCTCCCGGCCCGCCGGGTCATCTTCGCGTTCCCCTACATCGGCAGGAAAGATACCCCGCTCGATCCGCTCAGGTACCGTCAGATGGCTGGGCGAGCTGGTCGAGCCGGCCTGGACAGTGTCGGGGAGGCCTACCTGCTGGCCACCGGGGGGGTGACTGCGGAGCAGTGCCGCAGGATCATGCAAGGCGAGGACCTGGCAGTCAAGTCGTGTCTGCACCAGGACGAGAGGGGCCTCAAGCGGTGCATGCTGGACCTTGTCGGCTCCCTGCAATCCACCGCTGCAGCGCGCAGCGCGCGCGAGGTCGACATGTTTCTGAAGTGCACCCTGCTGAACCAGATTGTGGAGTTCAGCACCCTCAAACAGCAGGCGCTGCAGACGCTGAATACGATCGGCGGCGAGGACCCGGAGACAAAGCTATTGACGTGCGCCCAACAGCCCCGGCCTTGTTCTTCGGCCCCGACATGCGCTTGTGCGAGGACCGCGAACAATCCTGAGCGATCTGTGCCATATGGTCGCAGGATGAGCGGGGACGGTGCGTCGTGGCAGCCGACAGAACTTGGGCGGGCACTATTTGCAACAGGGTGCGACGTCGAGGTCGGCGTTGCGAACTACAAGGAGCTGCTCAGGGCTCGCAAGGGACTCAACCTCTCGACGGACCTCCACTTGGCCTTTCTCTGCACGCACTATGAGGCGATGAAGAACGCAACGATGTCAACCGAGGCACAGGTGCGCTGCTACGTCACGGGCAGATCGGGCGGCAGGGCGCTCACGGAAATCCTCGTACCCGCGAACGATCGCATCACCGTGATAACTCCCCAGGATGCGAAGATCAACGACGGGCGCCCTCCCTTCCGGTGCAGGAAATCGCAACGTATGTCATCACCAAGTACCACGCAAGGAGGGAGTCTGTCGAAGCGGACGTCGCCAACAAAGTCGGTGTCAACCAAGCACTCGCAAACAGGATTGGTAACGGCATGACGAACATGTTCACGGCATATCCCAACGACCCGAAGAAACAACTCGATGCCAATCGGGCGCGGAGGCTGTACTGGGCATCCGTCCTCCTCGATCTCATTCAAGAGATGCCGCACAAGGACGTGCTGAGAAAATATAGCATCATGCCTGACAACTTGACAACCCTGCAGGAAAATGCTGCCATGTGGTCCGAGCTACAGGTGCGCACACCATACACCGCACCACCGGCCCAGTGGGCTGCCCGGCGCATGCTCACCATCGCTCGCGCCTGGACGGTTGTGCGTCGGAGCGACAATGCCCCGCGCGTTCGACGCGTGGTCGCAGGCCAAGTTCTGCGAGCGCCTGGGCTGGCAGGAGATGGCTGCTATGATCTCGACCTTTGGGAAGCGAGCGCTGCACGGCGCCAGGTCGGACATCATCGCTTTGATGGAGATCACTGGGGTTCAGAAAGCGCGAGCGCGTTTGCTGCACACGAGCGGCCTGAGGACCGTCGAGCAGGTGGCACGAGCTGAAATCGACACCATCGCTCAGGTGCTGAGGTCCGGGCAAGTCTCGGGCCAGAAGTCTGCGTCTGGCGAAGCGGAGGCGGAAGCGTATAAACGTCAGGCAAAGTGGATCCGGGCAAGCGCGAAAAAGATCTGCAGGTGGGCATGTGTTCATGTGCTCCCTGTCTCGGTGCCCGCAGCGCGTGCTCCGACCACCGGCGCGCCACACGACGCGATACATGCACGTACGCATGCCTCGGCGGCTGGCTCACCTACGCCGAATGCGTGCTGGCCCTGCAGGGAGAGGGTCGCCGAGATCCGAGCGCAGGTCAACGCCCTCGAATCGGCGTGCGAACGCGACAACGGGTCGGACCAACTGCAGGAACACGGGCAGATTGCGCACGCGCCGAAGCGTTCTGCCGCGGGGCCGAGCGAGCAGCCGCCCCCGAAGCGCGTGCGCACAGACTACTCACAGCATGTTGAGTTGGGCCTCAACAACTCTCAGCGCTTCGTGAACAGCAAGGAGACGACCGTGAAGACACGGGCGCGGACGGAGAACCCTTCGCCTCATTCCGTCGGTGGCGTGCCTCCCGCAGGCGACGCTAGTGCGTTTCCAGTTCCACAGAGCAGAGCAGGCGTCTCGATGCCTCCGCCGATCCCCGGGGGGGCAGGCGGCAGGGTTGTACGCCAGGGCAGGGTTCACCCCCACATGCAGGGGGTGTTTCAAGTGTCTTCGGTTGACGACATCAAAGAGATGCTGGCTGTCTTTAGGGGGTCAAAGAATGCCTTCGTTTCCTTCGCCACCAACGAAGCGGCAAGCCGGAGGAGGGAGATCGACGCGGCGATTTTGCCTCCGCAATGCGGTGTGCCGGGCAAGGAGCGAGCGCGCACGCCTGACAAGGCGGTGGTGCACGGGCCATGCGACGCGTGCTTCTCCCAGGCCGGCATCAGAGGCGTAGCGGTGAGGTTTGGCACGAAGGAGGACGCGAAGGCACCCAAGGCACCCATATTCTGGGTGCCTCTCACGGGGGAGGGCGCGCTCGCGCGTTTCGCTGCTCTGCGCGACCTTTTGGAGAAGTTCACGCGGCTGGTGTTCTACGACGCCCAGGCACAAGCACGAGCGCTGCTGAACGCGAGGTCATACTTTGAGGCGCAGTGCGGGGCGGAGGCGGCTGCAGACGCAGCCACGTGGCAGTGGAGCGACGAGGTGGCAATCGCTGACGTCAAGGTCGGCATCTGGATGATCAAGCCCCACACGACGGCAAGGCCGGCACAGAAAGGCGGTCTCGCAGGCCGAGCCATCAAGACGACGTTCAGGGAGGTGATGAAAAAGGGCCTGAAAGGAGCTCCACCTCATCCGGCGGACGTGAACCCGAGCAGAAGCCTCCAGTGCATCACCTTGGAGCGCAAGCCTGCAGGCGAGAGTCCTCTTGCACGCTGCTGCTCTTGCACCGCATCGGCGTGCGAATCAGTTTGGAAGGCGCGACCTTCTGGTGCGAAATTCGACCTTCCCAGAGCCGTTCTTCCTCTCCGCGACGTTGCAGGTCTGGACGCTGTTGCCGTCGAGGCTTGTCAGGATGCCATGTTCCTGCCGCTCGCTTTCGATCAAGTGGAGAGGGAGCTGAAAGCCATGGGCATGCTGGAAGCGTTCTACGACACGGAGATGCCGCTCCCCAAGATTCTGGCTGGCATGGAGCACCGGGGCGTGTTGCTGGACATGAACTACCTGCAGAGCATGAAGAACGCCGTCGCGCGCAAGCTCGAGGTTCTGCCTAGGGAGATCCAGGAGCTGCTCGCAGAGTGCATCGAGCCGTGCCCGGACGTGGAGGACCTTGAGGACATTCTGACGAGCAGCAAGGAGACGTCCGACTTGGTGTACGAGACCCTCGCCATCCCAGTGCCACCCATCGCCCGAATGTCGAAGAGAAAGCCGGAGCCGTCCACCAACAAGGCAGCCCTGGACGCCATCCTGAACGGTCCGATCGGGGAGACCCTGTCGCCCGAGAAACGGTGCGCGATGCAGATATGATCCCGTGCCTCCTGGTCAGCAGCACGCAGTGGTGCGAGAGTGTAGCGAGCGTCGGAGAGAACCCTCGCGGTGTGTGCGCCCCTCGTCTGCGCAGGAAGGTCCTCGAGGGCATCCGGCTGTACCGAAGCCTGAGCAAGCACAAGGATGACGTCTTCAAGGAACTCATCCGGGCCCCCTCAGGCCGGATTCACGACGCTGCGGAACCGCGCGAGGGGTGCTTCCGCGTCAACTCCCGCATCTTCCAGACCGCCCACGAGAACGGCCGCCTCACCACGGAGGACCCCAACTTGCAGTGCATGACCAAGGCCCTGCCCGCGTTCGTCCTGGACGGCGCTGAGGTGCGCTCGCAGCTCGGAGAGGCGTGGTCTGCGTGAAGCGTGTTCGTGCACCCCCCGGCCCCCTCACAGCTCGGCCGCACTCCCCCCCGACGCTGTCGCAGGTCAAGTTGTCTCCTCGGGATGTCATCATCGCACCCGAGGGGTACTGCCTCATGTCCGTCGACTACGCACAGCTCGAGCTGCGCCTGATGGCACACTTCAGCCAGAGCGACGCGCTCATCGACGTGTTCGCCCACGTGCGTCCTCGCCCCTCCCGTCCTGTGGTGTCCTGTCGCACCTCCCGTCCTGCATCTCACAAGAGACGGTGCTGATCCGCGGCCTTCCTCGCAGGGCGAAGACCCCTTCCGGAACCTGGCGGCGGTGTGGAGAGGGATCCCCGTCGCGGACGTGGGGAGGGAGGCGCGGGCGGAGGCCAAGCAGCTCATGTACGCGGCGCTGTACGGCATGGGCTGCAAAATGTTCGCGTTGAAGCTGGGGATCACGATCGAGGCCGCCGAGGAAAAGCAGCACGCCCTCGCCGAGAAGTTCACAGGGCTCTTCAAGTACAAGGAAGAGGTTAAGAAGAGGTGTGTGTGTGGCAGCGCCCCGCCGTCGAAGAGAGACCCATCCCGCCGAGATCGCAGTGTGGCGTGCACACCTGTGTCTGTGTGCGTGAGCCGCGTTGCAGGCTGGATACGGCGCGTCAGACCAGGACCATAAGTGGGCGGGTCCGCGAGTTTGATGCCTCGGCGAGGAACTTGAAGAACGTGGCGTTCAACGCGATCTTCCAGGGATCCGCGGCCGACATCGCGAAGCTCGCGATGCGCAAGCTGCACACGAGGCTCTCGGACGGCACGGATGACGGGCGGATCATTCTGCAGATCCACGATGAGCTCCTGCTCGAGGTGCGCGAATCAAAGATCGACAAGATCGAAGGACTCGTTCGCGAGTCCATGGAAGGGGCTGCCAAGCTCTACAGGGACTTGCCCTTGCCCGTCAACATCAGGGTGGGGCCGTCATGGGCAAAGCTCACGCAGCGCAAGTCTGGCGGTGGCGACGAGGACGAGGACGAGGGCGACCGGGAAGGGGACGACGACGAGGAGGACGACGAGGACCAGCAAGGCACCCTCGGCAGCCTTGCGTCTGCGTGACACGCACGTGCGGCTGTGTGTGCGACGAGGGCGCCTCGGCAAGGTCGACGATGGCGCTCGACGAAAATGCATGACGTGCCGCAGCGACGTTCGCCACAGCGAGTCGCAAGCCTGTAAGTACGCGGCCACGCGCACTCTGCGCAATCGCGCTGATCAACTCGGGGGGGGGACAAGTCGGGACCTTCCGAAAGCGTATCGTTTTACTATCCGCCGCGCTCGCGACCCCGTTGCGACGGTGGCACGTGTGCGAGCCACGACCCCATCACACTCTTGCCTGGGGTGCTGGTGGGACGTGCAGTACTCGGGAGGACAGTTCGCCGTGGCCCTCGACAACAATCTTGTCCTCGTGCACGGACACGACCCCGTACGCGTTGCTGCCTTCCGGCGCCTCAAGGATTGCTTCAAGCGTCACGAAGTGCCGCCCGTCGCGCTCGGCGTACCCCCCCGCGTGGTCGTGGCCGTTGAAGTACGCCACGAACGCTTTGCTGGACAGGAACAACTCCTCCAGGCGCTCCCGGTCCCACGCGAAGTGCAGCAGGCTCGCCGCGCCCCAGCCCACTGGATGATGGCCGAACACGATCACGCGCTCGCCGGCGCGCTCCGCCGCCTGCACGACTTGCAGGCGGTTGCGTTTCACTGCGCAGTCAAGCCGTACGGCCACGCACCTGCGGGGCACGCGACGGCACGTCATCCGCAAGCAGCACAGCGACATCGCTGCTGCGCACCTGCAGCTCGCCGGCGATCCACTCGCGCTGTTCGCTGCCCACGGTGCTGTTCCAGATCTGCCGCCACTCCTTGTCCTTGTTCGCCTCGTCGTCCCACCAGGCGCGGGCCTCCGCGTCGAGCGCGCTGGGCTCCCGCTCCACCTCCATCGGCGCCACGTTCACCTCGGTCGTGTCCAGCACCTGCGGCAGGCCACGTCGGTGCTGGCGCGTGAACTCCTTCTGCTCACCCACCGGGCCGAGACGGCTCGCCTCGGGCCGCGCGCCGACGCGGCTCACGCCCGCACCAGCCGCGGGGGAGGGCACGCACGAGCAGCCGCCACCCGGGGGCGAGCGACGTGGCGAAGTAGGTCTTCTCGATGCCCAGGCGCTGCATCATCTCCTTCCGCGGGACCTGCAGACAGTGGTTGCCAATCACCAGCACGCGCTCGACCTCCAAAGTGTCCATAACGGACGCTGTGCTCTCTAGGTCCTTCCGTGATTCCGCCTGCACCTCGGGACAAGGAGTTGGTTTGCAGTTCGTCGGGATGTCGCGTGGCAGACGCTTCGTGCCGGAGGCGCGCGAGGCGGTTTCGGCGTCCGGGTCGATCACTGTCCCGCGCTCGCACGTACGGAACGGGCGACGCGCAGCAACCGAGCGGCGTGTTGCACCCACCACGAGAGGCGTCCCTGGCGGATAAATGTAGTGTCCGTCGATGATGTCGCCGAGGTGGGCGACAAACTTGAGCTCGCTCTTGCGCTGGTTGAAGAATGAAACAGCGTCACGGAGCTTGGGCAGCGCGGAGCGAAAGTACTGCACGCGCCCTCCCTCCCCCACCCCTGCGGATCACGGGTCGCAACAAGAGCGGACTCACACACGTGGCCACACTACTGAGCACTCGTATGCATTCTGCGCAGGGTGTGCGCGCTATCGACACGTCATGGGAGGAAGCGCGCGGGGCGGAGCTCCAGCAGTACCTTTGTCGTCCTTGTCCGCATACTGAACGTCGGACATGAGTCCGAACTTGACCAGTGGCTCCGACATGACTGGTGCAGACGCGCACGTGGCGGTACCTGCCCGCCGCGACCGTGCCCCGACGGGAAAGGGCCGTTGACCTACAAGTCCGAGTGCAGAGCGTCCGTCGCAGTGCACCGGGGGCCTCCGAGGCGCGCAATGCATTCCCAAGGGCGGCCGAGCGCTACCACAGCGTCGCACGCTGATGCCACGGGATTTCCCCCTGGTGCAAGTACGTCGCGCTCCCACGCCGAGTGCCCCCGCTGGAATCACACCGAAGTCCCGGGGGACGATGCAGCACGTCACGTCACCGGAACGAAGGGAATGCCATGAAAGCACTGGGGAGCGCCGCAGAGTGCTCCGCGCCCCCTCCAGGCGGCGGCCAGTCTGTCGGGCAGGGCAACCAGCGCACTTCCTCCTACTGCCTGCCTCTATCGGAGCTGCGGGTGAGCGGGCGCGACCAGATGCAGACGCGGCGCATGACCTCCTGGAGTTGACGTCGAGGCATCGTCGGAGGTAGACAGGGGCGAGCGCGACGCTGCGGTGCTCTCGACACGGTCATCGACGACCTACGGGGGCGCTGCACGTCTCCCGCACAGCATGTCTTTCGCGGCCCCTCACGTCCCGACGACGGGCATAACGGCCCCGTCGTCGCGCACGTGCGCCCCCGGAGCTTGCGTGAGGCTCTGCGGGCCCGCGGCGGCAGCGTTGCCGCCGTCTCCAGCCCCACGGCACCAGGACCGCGTCGGCCGGCCCCACGGACCAGCAGCGGTGCGGCGCTCTCTCGCGTGCGCAGCGAGGAAGGGTTCCGGGATATGGGCATTCGATGCGTCGGATGTGGAGCTGGAGCGGCAGATTGGCGCCGTGGGCTTCATGATAGTCTCCAACCCAGCGTCGGGGGCTTCTGGGGACGGAGAAGGCAAGCGACGAGCAATGCGGGATGCACGGGCCTTGACATCGCCCCGCGCGCCTCAAGTTCCGCGGTCCGAGCCGGAGTTGAGCAGCAGCGTGCGCGCGACGCGGCAAACCCTACGTGCAACTGATTGCAGGTCTCGACATGGCGGCCATCAGCTCGCTCGCGGGTGGGCAGCGCATGGTGGAGGGCGAAGTCAGGGCGAAGTTGTTCACGGGAACAATCAGGAAGGGAGAGCTCACGGGGACACGGGTGTCGCTCAAAGCCTACCCACCTGCCTCGCAAGCCCAGTACGCGGACATCATGGCCGCGAACGAACTCAAGGCGCACTCGTCCCTCCAGGTACATGCCAGGCCGATGTACCATCGCCGCGCTCTCACGCCCTGCGAGGTGGCCGGTGTCGCGCCCCGGCCTGCCCTGCGCCAGATGCAATGATGGGTAGTTGGGGCGTGCCACGTCGCCCGGGGAAGCCCAACGGTTCCTTCATCGCCCCCCCTTTATCCCTGTAGACGCCCGACGGGGAGCCGCCTGAGAACGTCGCCAAGCTGCTCGGAGGGTTCGTGGTCAAGGATGGTGCGGGAACCGGGGAGCAGTGGCTGGTGTTCCGCGCGGGTCTGGACGGCACGGCGACCCTCGAGGAGTACGCCAAGGTCGCTGCCGAGGCCACGTCGACGTAAGTACCCGGGCGGATGCGGCGCACCCGGGCGCGGTCGGTCCTTGTGCAGGAGTGTGCGTTGTGCTCCCTGGCGTCTGACGCGCGCGTGCGGTGCTGTTTGTCCTGGCCGCAGGAAGGGCACTGTTGGCGAGGGCGAGTTCTGGGACCGCTTCGACTACTCCCGGGCGCTGCGTCGGCGGCAGGTGTTCCTGCTGAGAGCCATACGCGGGGCAATGCAGGGTCTGGCGAGCATGCACTCGCGCGGCTGGCTCCACCAGTCGCTCGGCCCGCAGTCCGTCCTCCTGTCAACGACCGAGGAGCGCGACGCAGCGCGCCTCAACGCACGCCTGCGCGACCTGGCCTTTGCTGTCAAGTGCTCCAACGAGGCGCTGATGGGCGGGCCGACGCTCGCCGACCTCTGGGAAGCAGGCGAGCGTGTGGACATGCCGTTTGCCGCGCGACCCGCACCGCTGAGCTCGCGGGGCCGCCCGGGTATGACACGGCTGCGTTCTGTTGGTGTGCAGGGAAGAAAATGGACGCGGAGAGGGACGACCCGGCCAACGTGCTGTCGGAGAGCCTGTGGCAGCGGGCGCGCAGCGAGGGCGCGGTGACAACGAGCGAACAGCGCAACTTTGGGATCGCGGACGACATTTACTCTGGTAGGTTGCGAGCCGACATGACCGCGACGGATCTCGCGGGCCCAGCGCCCATTGCGACGTGCCCGCCTGACGCCGCACTCGATCCCCTCTGTTTCCCTGTGTTTCGCAGCCGGGCTGCTCTTGGCGTACGCGTGCTTCGTTCCGTTGTCGGAGATGGGGAGCGTCGACGGCCCCACGCTGCTGCGTTTGCTCGAGACCACGTTCCGCGACGACTTCGAGGGGTTCCGCGAGTACGCGACAGCAGACGATAGGTGGAGCGATGCGGTCGACTTCCTGAACATCGGCAAGGGGGCAGGGTGGGAGCTGCTGGAGGCCATGTTGGCACCCGACTGGCGGAAACGTCCCACCGCGGAGTCGTGCCTCAAGCACCCGTTCCTGACGGGTGAGGCGTACGACATGTGAGCAGGGACGCGGCCTCGGCGGCTCACACGCGGCGTCGGCGAGTGGGCCGGGCTGACGGCGTTGCTGCGGCGTGTCAGTCGAAGCCACGGTGCAGCTGCGCGCGCGTGACGCGCATGAGGGCCTTCATGAACGCGGCGGTCCGCAGGGGCACCTTGCGCTCGGTGTGGATCTTCCAGAGCGCCTGGAAGGACGCGGTCATGCGGGCGTCGAGCTGGCGCACGATCTCCTCCTCGGTCCACTTGAAGTTCTGCAGGTTCTGCACCCACTCGAAGAACGACACGGTCACGCCGCCCGCGTTCGCGTAGATGTCCGGGAGGACGGTCACGCCCTTCTCGCGCAGGATGTGGTCGGCCTCGAAGGACACGGGCCCGTTGGCCGCCTCGACCACGTAGCGCGCGGCCACGGAGCTCGCGTTCTCGCTCGTGATGACGTTCCCGATGGCCGCGGGGATGAGGATGTCGCACGGCATCGAGAACAGCTCGTCGCGCTTGATCTGCTCCCCGGGGCGGTAGGCCGCGAGCATGTTGCCCTGCCCCACGTGCTGCCGCAGCTTGGGGATGTCCAGCCCGTCCTCGTTGTGGATCGCGCTCTCGGCGTCCGACACCGCGATCACCTTGGCGCCCATCTGGTGCAGGAAGTCCGCGGCCCACGACCCCACGTTGCCGAACCCCTGCACCACCACCTTCTGCCCCTCCACCTTCTCGCCCGTGACCTTCATCAGCTCGCGGATCCCCAGCGTGACCCCGCGGCCCGTCGCCGACTCGCGCCCGAGCGACCCGTGCAGCCACACGGGCTTCCCCGTGACCACCCCGGGCGAGAACCCCTTGTACTTGGAGTACTCGTCAAAGATCCACGCCATCACGCGCGCGTCCGTGTTCATGTCCGGCGCCGGAATGTCCTCCATCGGACCGATCACCTCGCGCATCGCCTGAACGAACTTCCGCGTCAGCTTCTCCATCTCGCGCTCCGACAGGTCCTGCGAGGAAGCGACCGCTCGGCACGTCGTGGGCCCACCCGCCGCCGTGCGCGCCCTGGGCCGCGCGAGGGGCGCGCCGCCGCGTGCGGTGCGGTCGTACGCCGTACCTTCGGGCTGCAGGTGCTCCCGCCCTTCGCCCCGCCGAACGGCACGTCCAGCAGCGCCGTCTTCCACGTCATCAGAGACGCCAGCGAACGCACGTCGTCAATGTCCACCTCGGGGTGGTACCTCAGGCCGCCCTGCGACGCGCAACGGGGAGCCGCGTGATCAAAGGGCTCCCAGGACGCGGGAGGCGCGTCTGTCAGGGGGCCGCGTGCCCGCGCGGGGGGGACGGCTCGCCTTGAACGGGCCCCGGGAGCTGTCGTGCTGCACGCGGAATCCGCGGAACGACTCGATCTGCCCGTTGTCCATCTGCACCACGAGCTCCACGGTGACCTCTCTGCACGGCACCAACGGCCCGCGCGCGTTCCGCGGTCGGGTCCCCGGGCTTGGTCAACGGCAGGTGGTTGCGGTGGCGCGGGGTGAAATTTGACGCGGGGCGGCAGTGCCCGCACCTGTAGGCCTCCAGCAGGTGCTTCTGGAGCTTCTGGGGATACTCTAGCTCGACGAACGCCTCCTGAACGAAGCTGTTGGTGTTCTCCGAGTGGGAAGCCATCATGCGGCGCGCCAGCCGCTGCGAGGGCACGCGCACGAGGTCGCAGCGAGGGTCGAGAGCGGGACGGATGACCAGCGATGGGCGGCGCTGCGCACGCGCGGACCGCGCCGCGGCGTGCGGTGGCCGAACGCGGGCCGCGCGCTGGATAGGAGCTGGGAAATCAACCACTTGCTCAGGAACGGCCCGAACCCGCGCCTTCGAGCCGGCTGCGTGGCGTCTGTGCAGCTCTGCCGGATAGCACAGTATTGAATGCCGTGATGCGCGTCGAGATGTCCGGCATCGCGCTCCCGGCAGTGCGCAGCGGTGGCGCAACCGCCGGCTCTGTTTGCACGGGCGCTGGCAGCATTGATCCGCCGTCACAAGCGAAATGCGAGCAACACTCGGGAAGACACATGGCGTTCGTGGCGCAACGAGAGATAAACTATGTGAAACGTCGACTCTCACGCGACGCTTTGACACGCACCTGCAGAGCTGGACCGCATGCCCCGCAATTTGCGCTGGCGACCGCCGCAAGGGCGCTCACGCCAGCGCTCGCCACCCTCGATAGCATATCAACTCAACAAGACCGAGTGCCTCTTGTTCGGGCGATGCTGGGTGCAGTGGGATCCCAGGACCTGCTTGGAGGCCCGGTGCTGTTCCAGCGTAGGGCCAGTGCGATGCGCACGAGTTCGTTCGCAAGAACGCTGCGATGTCTGACAGATGTGATCAAGGAGATTGTCCCAGGCCCAGTGCGGCGCCCGCTCTCGCCCCCCAGCCGCGCTCCGGCACACGCCTGACGTGGACGCTCGCACCGGGTACAACCATGAAGAGGGGGGCGCCGGGCGCGGGGTGATGGGCGGCGGCGGCCCCGGCCCCCGCGCACACCCGCCCAGCGTCGCCCGCACGTCGCCGTCCACGAGCGCTTGAGGTCCACCTGCGTGCGCCCCGCACACACACACACGCCCATCATGCAGGCTCTGGCCAAGGTCGGCGGAGCACGCGCCCCGGCCGCGGCGGGGCAGCGCGGCGCCCGGGCGCGCGCGGCGGTCCGCGCGGCCGCGCAGCCGCACGGGCGCATCTACAACTTCAGCGCGGGCCCGGCGTGCCTGCCCGCGGACGTGCTGGAGGAGGCGCAGCGCGACATGCTCAACTGGCAGGGGTCGGGGATGAGCGTGATGGAGATGAGCCACCGCGGGAAGGAGTACGACGCGATCCACAGCAAGGCGCAGGCCGACCTCCGGGAGCTCATGGGGATCCCGGACAATTACAAGGTGCTCTTCGTCCAGGGCGGGGCCAGCACGCAGTTCGCCGGGGTCGTGCTCAACCTCACCAAGCCCGGGGACGTGGTCGACTACGTCGTGACCGGCTCGTGGGGGAAGAAGGCGCTGCAGGAGGCCGAGAAGCTCGGGTGCAAGGCCAACCTGGCCGCCAAGGGCGACAACAAGTCGCTGCCGCCCATCAGTGACTGGAAGCTGTCGCCCGACTCCAAGTTCGTGCACATCTGCTCCAACGAGACCATCCAGGCGAGTCCCCGCGGAACCAACGTGCCAGCTGCGCGCGTGGTGACGGGCAGGAGCCCCGCACCAGCGCCGGGCCGGCTGAACCCTCGGTTGTGCTGCCGTCGCGCGGCCTGGCCCGCGACGCCGTGCCGGCGAACGCGCCGGCTCCGAACAAAGAAGCGACGACCGACAGGTCAACATGCGACCGAGGCACCCTGACGGGCCCCAGAGTCCTGAATTGCACGGTGGGAGCGCGCCAACCGCTTCGCCATGCTAGAGGCACTTGCGAGCGAACGACGTCGCTGCGCCGACGCGCCGGCTTGCGCGAACATGCGATCATGCTCGTTGCAACTTACAGCTGCAAGGGGCAAGAGAGTTCCCGACTGGCTCGCCGCTCAATGCCGCGCGCGACACACCTGCAAGGTCTAGGGCAGCCGCCATCCCGCCGGACCGTTCCGGGACCGAACCCGCCGTCTACTTCCCCGAGATCGATTTTATCACTCTGTATCACGCCACCTGTAGCCATTCTGCATCGGAATATCCCACACTCGCGCCTCAGTGGGCCCCGATGGCCAGCAACGCAACCGCCGGGCGTTGACCGCACTTTGATCCGTTGTTGCTGACACCTCGCGGCATCTTGCCGCGCCGGGCGTACCTCCAGATCCGCGCGAGGCCGCAGCGCCTGCGACTGCGCCAGGCGCGCGCGTGGCGACACACCGCCGCGAGACGTGTTGCTGTTGCCACTTGCAGGGTGTCGAGTTCCAGGAGGACCCCGACCTGGGCGACCGGGTGCTCGTGGCGGACATGTCGTCCAACATCCTCTCCAAGCCCGTCGACGTGAGCAAGTACGGCGTCATCTACTGCGGCGCGCAGAAGAACATCGGGCCCTCTGGCGTCACCATCGTCATCGTCCGGTGCGACCCCGCGCCGCGCTCCGAACGCGCGATCGCGCGACTGCTGCGGCCGGCGCTGCTGGTGTCGCTCGCCTGGTCCGCTTCGTTCCGTCGTCTCAATTCGCATGTCCTGCAAGTCCCTGGACGGCGTCTTGCGACGGCCGTGTCCGCATCGTCTGATGCGCAGGGAGGACCTGATCGGAAACGCGCGGCCGGACACGCCGACGATGCTCGACTGGAAGACCATGGCGGACAACGACTCGCTGTACAACACCCCCCCCTGCTACTCGATCTACATCTGCGGCCTGGTGTTCGCCAAGCTGCTGCGCGAGGGCGGCCTCGCCGCGTCCCTGGAGCGCAACAAGGCGAAGGCGGGCCTGCTGTACGACGCGATCGACGCGTCGGGCGGGTTCTACAACTGCCCCGTGGACCCCGCGGTGCGCTCCAACATGAACGTGCCCTTCACCATCCCCGGGAACCCGGAGCTGGAGCCGGCCTTCATCAAGGGCGCCGCGGAGCGCGGGATGGTCCAGCTCAAGGGGCACCGCTCCGTGGGCGGCATGCGCGCCTCCATCTACAACGCCATGCCGCACGACGGGTGCGGGGACCTCGCGGCGTACATGAAGGAGTTCCAGCAGCAGAACGCGTAGGAGGCGCGGCGAGTTACAGGAACGCAGCCGCAGCAGAGCGGGGGCCGCCACACCGGCACCACCCTTGTTTGTCCTGTTGACACGCCGAGAGGTCAGCGGAACCTCTCTCGGCTGTGACGACGGGTCCTATCTCGCGCAGGGCTTCTGCTGCGTCTGTCACGATCGTGTCGTCGCTCGCGGCTGCGGCCGTGCTCGCGGTACCTGGGCGCCTCCGGGCTGTGCTCCCTGCTCCTGCTGCGGGACCTGCCTCGGCTCCTCGGTCGCCGAGGCTCTTGGCTGCTGCTCCGTGATCTTCGCCGCCCACGGTGCCTGTCTGGGGACCTCGACCTCCGATGACGGCTGGACTGATGCCGTCTACTGTGATGGTGAACGTCCTGGGCGCCTCTGTCCCGCGGCGGGTGCACGTCGCCCCTGTCGGCTCGTGGTTCCTCGAAAGATCTTGTGCGCTGCAAGGGGTGGTCGTCTCGGTCGCAGGCGACCTGAGCGGCAGCACCGGAGTCGCCATGGCCGGCTGACGCCTGCATCATGCGTCCCACTTGGTTGCGAGCGTTGCGGTCCCGCTCCTCCGACAGCTTCTTCAGCGCCTGCTTGCGGTTGTCCTCTTGAATCGTCCGGTTCAGCTGAGCGGCCATCAAGCGTTTGATCCGCTGTTGCGGGGTCTCCTTGACCCCTGGCTGCGCCCGCAGCGACGCTGCATGCGCGAGGGAGCGCGGAGCGACGGATCGCGGCATGGCCGGAGCACTGGTGCAGGTCCGCGAGGAGTCGGGGCGGGCGTGCTGTCTAGTCGGGGCGCGCACTGCACAACAGGTGTCGGGGCAGCGTGCCTGACGTCGGACGTGCCGCCTCCGGACGAGTCTGACGCCCCGTGTCCTGCCTCCGCTCCCCAAACCGTCGCCCCTGCATGATGGTGCCCTCGACAGGCAGAGCAACCCCACCCTCGGTCTGTGCGGGGTCCTGGTGGCGCGGGTCGATGATGCCCATCGTCCGCCAGTGCCCGGCCGGCGAGCCCACCGCGGGTGAGCTGTGCCCGCTGGCGTTCCCGGGACTCCCGCGCCCGAACTCGTTGATGAAGGTGATGCGCGGCCCCAGATGGACATCCCCGCGAGGGTCCCGCTCGTTCGAGGGACTGCGACGCCGCGCCGATCGATCGCGCCGCTCTTCCTCGTCCGGACGCTCTTGCGGCGGTGGGAGCGTTGGAATCGAGGCAAGGAAGTCGTCTGTTGCTCTGGTGCTGCTTGCGAATGGGTCCTTCCCTTGCCCGCGGAGCCGCTTCGCGCGGCCTCCCGTCTTCCTGCGGGACCACTTCTTGCGCTTCGTGATGAAGTGGCGTCCGAGCTCCTGTTCCTCGGCCTCCTCGGCCTTGGAGAGCATCTCGGTGAACCCCTCGATGTCAAACAAATCCTCAGCGATCACGTCCATCGCCTCCTCCTCCCTCGCAGCGCCCTCGTCATCGGCCGCGCCAACGTAGCCCGGCAGCTCAGAGTCTTCCCCTTCTGCGGACGCAGACGCCGCCTGCGCCGACGCAAGCAAGGAACCGTCGTGCCCTGCAGTTCCGGGGTTCCCGAGCCCGACGGACGCAGCGGCGAGTCGCAACGCGTAGCCGCGGATCTCCCAGTTGAGGTTCTCAGCGTAGTCCACGCCCTGCGCGGGAGGAAGAGAAGAGGCGTGCCTTTGGTAGGTTCCGCCACACACCGTGACTGGCAGCGCGTGGCTGCCGCAGCGTGTCTCGCATTTGCGTGCCAGGCTCTCACCTCGCTATGCCGCTCGTCATCTCCGAAACCCATCTGATACATCCGCACGAGGTCCCGATACGCCTCGAACTGCAGCTGCTCCCACATCGGATCCTGACGCGCCGCCGCCCTCGCGGCCTCTGCGACACACGACCAAAGCGCCTACGGTGATCAGCGGACGCGTGCAGAGCGTCAGCAGTGGGCTGCCACGCGCGTGTCATGCACCAACCTTGGCGCTCTGGGAGGGGCTCGCGGTACATGTCGAGCAGCGCCCTGCCGTCGTATCTATCAATCGTCGTGTCCGCCACGCCCCTCCACGGAATCAGGCCTTCCCCTGCCTCCTGGGCGGCGTGTGCTTCCTGGCTCCGCGTTGTTTTGCACGCCCTCCCATCGATCCGGATCTTGAACATCGGCGCTTCATTCTGCAACCAGATGCGGGGCCTTGGTCCGGGATCTGTGCGGGCGCCGGCGGACGTGTTCCGGGCGACGATGCCGGTGTTTCGCACGGGACCACGGTGCACACAGCACGGCGAGAGCAACCACAGCCGGAAGGCGACACTGGTGGGGGCTGTCACCTCGGCCGCCGCAATTTCCGCAAGACGCTCTTTCTTTCTCCTGGCGGCCTCTTCCAGCTTCTTGAGCGAGTTGTTGTGCGCGCGTTGTTGCTGCACCAACAGGAAAAAGGCGGTGGTGGGCATCGGTAGCCCTGTCGTGGAGCGTTCCGGCGCACGGACGTTGTGCCGCCCTCAGAAGCGTGCGGCTCGGCGACCGCGCCCCCCGCGCGATCTCTGGCAGGGTGAGCAGTGCCAGCTTGTCCCCGGGGCCCGCAGCCGCCCGAGAAGGGCGCAGCAGCCATTCATTATTCCCTCACGAGTAGTCAGAGGACGCCTCGAGAGCAAACTATCGATAGCGTCCTCAGGGCAGAGCCCAGCCACGCGTGTACAGAGGGGTGGGCGTTCCCGCACCTCGTAATACGACATTCTGGACCCTAGCCTGGACGTGAGGGGCCTGCACAGGTGGCTTATTCACCGGGGCTGCGATGCACAGACGCCTGCCCATGCCGTCCCCGCTCGTCGCGGCGGCGGGAGGACATAAGCAGTCCTGGTAGCGGGCGCCCTCAGTGACTGCAACCACGGTCGTGAGGGTCGGCTACGCCCGCTCGGCGAGTCGATCACCTCTCACCCGAGGGAATTGCATTCTGGTGCGGTCGCTCCGGCAATGCGCCACCGGTGTACAGCTGGCGGACGTGCGGTACGACGCCAGAGGAGAGATCCCCGGGAACTCCCCAGGCCGTGCAGGTGCGGCGCCAATGGGCACCAAGGGCACCCCACGACCACAATTCTGCACTGTCAGCGACGTATCACACGCGAACGGACCGTTGAGGCGCGTCCGCGCCTGCCTCGTTCGCAGTAGTGCAGCAAAGGCGGCGAGAATCCCGACAGAAGAGCCGTGACGTCCCTGAAACGCAGCCGTTCCAGTAGTTGTACTCCATTCTGTTTGTGCGGCAGCTCAAGCGGCTCGCGCGCGAGCTTGAGAGGCGCCGCCGGCGCCTAGTTGGGCACAGCGTTGGGCCACCCGACCAGAGCATATGGGCCCCGACGCACAGGTTGGCCCGTTCTCGCCGGGCACGATCAAACGAAAGAAGCCCCGACAGGAGCGTTTGAGAGTCCTCGTGACAGGTGGCGCGGGTGAGTGGTCTGTTCTCTCTCTCAGATGTCATGCCTTTGCCCGACGCGCCGTCGCGGCCAGCCCCCCGACTCCGCCGAGGTCAGCCTTCCCGGGCCTGGAAACCTTTCACGCGGGCCCCGTCTTGCGTGCGGACGGCGTTCACGCGCGCGTGGAGGAGATCTGCCAGGGGTCAGTATATTTCAGTTGGCCCACATCGGGTCGCCACGCATCCGCGCAGGGTTCGTCGGCAGCCATCTATGCGAGTACCTGTTGAGGCGCGGCGATCACGTGATCTGATCTGCCTGGACAACTTCTTCACAGGTTCGAACCTCGACGCTCACCTCTCTTGGTGCCCTGCGTCACCGTTGCAAACTGCCCACTCCGCGCGACTCGCTGTGGAGGCGGCCACAGCTTGACCTGCTCGACCGGGTGCGGTGCAGGGAGCAAGGACAACATCCGGCACCTCACGAGCTCCCAGCACTTCGAGGTCATCCGGCATGACGTGGTGGAGCCCATTCTGCTCGAGGTGGACCAGGTGCGGAGCGACCCCCGCCGCGACGCTGCTGCGCGCCGCAGCGCGCCACCGACCCTGTTGACCCGGGAGCGCCTCGTGCTTGGCCCGCAGGTGTACCACCTGGCGTGCCCCGCGTCCCCCATCCACTACAAGTACAACCCCATCAAGACGCTCAAGACGGCGTTCGTCGGAACGATGAACATGCTCGGGCTGGCGAAGCGGTGCAGGGCGCGCTTCCTGTTCACGTCGACGTCCGAGGTGTACGGCGACCCCCTCCAACACCCCCAGTCCGAGTCCTACTGGGGCAACGTCAACCCCATCGGGGAGCGCGCGTGCTACGACGAAGGCAAGCGCGTGGGCGAGACGCTCACGATGGACTACCACCGGTGAGCGAGCGTGCGTCGGGCCCGCCACCCGCGCCTGTCCCCAGGCACTTCAGCGCCTGTCCATAGGACGCCGCACGGCCTCGTTTTTTCTCGCAGGGAACACGGCATGGACGTCAGGATCGTTCGCATCTTCAACACTTACGGGCCGAGGATGGCGCTGGATGACGGGCGCGTGATGTCCAATTTTGTCGCTCAGGTGCGCAGCCGCGCCCTCCGCCTCTGGTTGCAAGATGGTTCCTGGCCCTCCGGGCACGAGACCCATCGTCGACTGTCCGCATCCCGTTGCATACAGGCCCTGCGAGGAGAGCCTCTGACCATCTACGGAGACGGGAAGCAGACGCGTTCGTTCCAGTACGTCAGCGACCTGATCAATGGTTTGGTCCGGGTGATGGAGGGAACCGACATCGGCCCGACGAACCTCGGGAACCCGGCGGAATTCACCATCCAGGAGCTTGCCGAGGTGCGCCCAACGTCTGTGTGTCTGGTCGCGGTTCAGAAACGGACGAAAGCTCGAGAAGGGACACACATTGAGTGCCTGCAATCACGTCCCTGTGCGGACTGGTCCCTGCAGGTGGTTCGTGACATGGTGAACCCGAATGTCGAGATCGTCTACTGCGAAGCCACGGCAGACGATCCGAAGTGTCGCCGCCCCGACATATCTAAAGCGCAATCAACACTGGACTGGGAACCTCGGGTCGCCCTGCGCGAAGGAGTGGCGAACATGGTCGCGGACTTCGAGCAGCGCCTCGCGGCTGTCAGCAAGCGGGAAGTGAAGAAGTGCCGCCTCCTGAGCGGCGAGGCCGCGGACACCTCGGGCAGCCCGATCCCGTCCGGGAGCCCCTCGTAGCCACCCGGGCAGGCCCACTCGCCGCGCCCGCGTGCGCGGCTGTAACGGCGTTCTAGAAGATCAAGCGTACGTGCCAGAAGGCAACGCAGCGACGGGGCGGCAGAGGGTACAGATAGACAACTCGCTGGGAAAACATCGGTTGCAACACGGCTCCAGCGACGCGTCTGCGAGGATCTACAGGGCCACTCCCGTCCACATGATCTGCCGCGCCTCCAGCTACCTCGATCTTCTTCGTCATTCACAGTCTCGTCCCGGATGTGTGGTCACCAGGTCGCAGGTGAGCAATCAAGCTGTGGCCTGCATCTCGTCCGCGGCCCTCGCCTGCACGCACCGCGCCATCGTCTTAGACGTGCGCGAGATGATGTCCGTCTGGTAGAAGTTCTCCACGTGCGAGGCCAGCGGCCGCTTGCCGTCCACCTTGTCCTTGGTGCCAGCACCCCACCCCTGGGGGCTCCACAGCGGGGCCTCGAACGCGTCGACGCGCGCGAGGTGCGGCGCCACCTCCTGCAGGCGCGCGCGCATGCCCGACACGGAGTCGTACGGCAGCTGCGCGCCGGCCATCTCGGACAGCGCGCGCACAATCTTCCAGTCCTCCCGTGCCCCGCCCGCGAGCGCCACGGCCGCCTTCGACCGCTGCGCGCGCCCCTCCGTGTTCACCCACGTCGCCGTCTTCTCCGTGTACGCCGCGCCCGGCAGCACCACGTCCGCGCGCGCCGC